TGGTTCGAAAATCGAAGCATTTCTAGTATTGATTGTGTTAGAAGACTTTGATTTTGTCAAAGTGACAATCAAGAACGAAGATGACGTATTTATCAAACATTTTGTTGGTAGATTGGAGCAGACTATCTCTGCCCTGAAGGATCCCATCGCCAGATCGTCATCGCACATGATACCACATCTTCTCAACACTTATAATCATGTAAAAACAAACACTCGTGACTGTGATTTGAAATTTGCTGATTATTGCACGATCCATTTATCTTCAGTTGCTAATAGTGGCGGATTACCATTAGATACGAGTGCATTAGCTGATGCTGTAGAAGATCTCAATGATAAATATGCTCTGTACGCCGAATACTTCGCTTTCAAATTGACGGACAGTTTTCGCGGTCAAATGGAGCATGATGTTAAAGAATGTTTAGATACATGTATGAAATCAATGCATAGCGATGTACTTATTCAATCGTTTTTAAAAATCAATGACGCAGTTCAGATTTACAAGCCCCTTCGAGCATACTCATGGCCGATGGATAGGTTTCCTTTTCGACTGATTCAAACAGATGATATTCCAATTGCATTCTTCAACTGTCTGGAAAATATTCATCCGAACTTGACCATCGCTCTCGAAACTATCTGTGACATTTTCATCCGTGATGGATATTTCGTTCGCAACCCGGAACTGATTCCATCGATTATCCTACTAGTCTTCGGAGTTATCTCAAAAGATTTAAATATCACGAACATCTATGCGAAGTTACTTGGTGATGTAACAGATGAGGTGAACATAAAAGAATTCCTCATGGCAAGGATCTCATCAATGTCTAATCCATACTATAAAGCAAGAGCATTATATCAATTCGCGCAGTATGATGACGAACGAAATCTGAAACTTCTCACTGAAGCGTTCGATCAAGCCAAAATTATCCCAGATGCAAGCTTACGGTTTCAAGTTTTAGAAAAAATATATGCAGTCCTACAAGTCAAACAAACAAATCAAAATGCATTCACTCAAACGATCATTCGAGAAATGATTTCCACATGGAATCAGATCGAGCATCTTCATGATCGCACGATCGCATCAATCCGATTAGCGTTTTACGGATTACGTGACTTTCGCAAAAAATATTTAACACATGCGTTGGAAGCTTTGAGTCACATGGATGAAAATACAGATAAAATCAGACTTCTCGTCAAATTAAAACCCCTTATGTCTGTCTACACTGATCTTCAAGACACGTTAAACTTGATCATTAACAATCTCCAGAATGAAACATACAGAAACTTTGTCCATGGACTCTACGGGAAAATTCTATGTACTCAAAAGTATAAGGATCTTTCCACCAACAATCAATTGGAATGTCTGTTTCGACTGTTTACAAATTTGAATGATGCAAAAATGATGATTGGGGAAGATCAAAGCTTGACTCGTCTTTGGATAAACCTCTATCGAGATGTCGACAATCAGTCGCACCTTGAAAAACTATTGAAAATTGGTTTAGTCGATGAATTGTTTCTCACTCCGCAGGTCGCCGTTATTATAGATGAATTAATTCAACAAGGAAGAGAAGATGCCATCTCGGTTTTGTATCCGTATATCATCAAACCATCGAATGAAGTTTTGCCAATCGTGCAACGATGGTTTACTGATTATCACGACAAGAAAATCAACAAATTAGCTGCTCTGTTGCTGGCAGAAAGCAAATGCATTTTCGAATTAGCGATCCATACGATCGTGGATTTGTTCAAAATAGATAATGACCAGATGAGATATCGAGCGCAACGGGTCTTCCAACATCCCGAACGAGATCCGACGATACCAAGTAAAAAAATCTCTGTCTTAGGAGAACGAACAGTATTGAAAATTCTACAAACTGCATCCATGGAACATCTTCCGCGTGTTACAATTTATCTACGCAGCTTTTTCTCAGATGTTCTCTGGGATGATCCGGAAATCTTCGAAAATATGCAGAAAAGTGTAGCGAAATTGAAAGAAGAAAAACCCGTGAGGTCAGGAAGAATGTGGTTCTTTCATCGAATAAAATTCATCAATCAACAAACTTGGAATGCTCTGATAAACTCAGCTCAACTATCAACAGATGCTTCTTATATAGAAGAATTACTTCATTCAGTGATGAATTTAACGATCAATGGAAAAATTCGACAGGATCAATGGCAACAATTCGCCGTTGTATTGGCCACTGTAGACACAACACGATTTAGCGAGAAAGTATATCTTACCAGGCGAGAATTGCATATAATCGACTTTATTCTGGAGGAAGTTTGTGTTTCAGCCGATTTGAATGATGAATTTTATTTTATGAATCTTGAATCGAAACTAATCGATCAATGTACAACGCAAGTGGAAAATTTTCATCGAACTACTTACGATCGAATGCAAGATATCAGTTTTTGTAATTTTCGTGTTTCCGTCATGGAACTGAACAAAGAAATACTACAGCGAATCGAGAACACTCCCATTACTCTAACAATTCTGGAGAATTTAATCCAGTGGTTAATACAAAAGCTGCTCATGTTCAACGAATCCGATGATTCAATATATTCATTAATGATTATTGATAATTTACTAAGTTTAGTGGCAGCTTGTGTGCAAAAAGAAGACTACTTCTATCGAAAAATCACGAATAATCAAAACTTTGATAAATTCCAAATGATCAAACTTCTAGTGAAGACGATTCATTACCATCCGTACTTCCCCGCACGTGGAAGCGCTTTTATTTTACTCGCCGCAATCGATTTACCTGATCATCGGATCATTATCGATGTTTTGAGCGCACTGTTCGACGAAAATCTTGTCAAAGAATATACAACAATTGGAATGCCGTTAATACATCTGTCCTCAAACGAATTCGTTGACGACTTGTTGAAATCTTTAACAAATGAAAGTGCAATTAAAGTTTATGAAACGTTAAAAATCATCACACAGTTCGTTCTCGATGAGAAACTTGACGCGCATACGAAATCGAAAATTGTTCAATATTTAGCCCACGAGATCGGAGAATTCAAATCGAAGAAAGTCGTCAGTTATTATTACACAGATGTAAGCATTCCATTCACAACAACGTTGGAGAATGAATTATATAAAACATGGACGAAAATACAAGGACTTTCGGGTAAAACACAATATGCCATCACAACTAATCAATAAATAAACGATCAGGACAATGTAAAGATACGACAAACTGTTTTTTTTCGAAATATAAAGACGTTTAGTGAATATCATGACAAAAGGAGAATATGTTCTATGTCCTAGTGTTGTATATTACGGAATTAAATCATTTGACCGCGTTGTCACATATTTCGAACCTCAGTTCCTACCAATTTCGGATTTCCATAGGAGAATCACGCTCACATCTTCAAGATTTCAAAGGAAGAACACTCAAATACGATGTTGACTTTACTTTTATTTGCTTTCCAACTTGACTCACCTTAAATACATATGCCATTTCTATTACATTTTCATCGCTTACAAAACATTTACTGTTTCTTATCTTTATTCTTATTCAACATTCGTATATCTGAGGACGAAGTATTGTTGATAATAAATATTCTCTAAGACGTACAACAAAATAATACTGCTGGAATGGGTAATGGTGCATTTAAGAAGACCGGATTCAAAATTGGAGAAGCTAGTCTGTTTTATTGGGCATGCAAAGAAGGTGATATAGCAGCAGTTCGCCAAATGCTCCCAAACATGACCTACGAACAAGTTAATCAACTTGAGCCTCTCGGAAGTACAGCTCTTCATGCAGCCGTATTCTATAATCACCCACATATTGTTCAACTGCTTCTCGAAAATGGATGTTCACGTACAACTTTGAATCGTCATGGAGCCACAGCATATGAAGAAGCATCTACTGATGAAATTCGAGCATTATTCAATCGACCAGCATCGGGCAGATTCGTCGATGAGCACATGACCCAAACATTTCAACTGGCCAACCCCAAGGGTAACAGTGTTGACATGAAAGACGGCATACCAGATGATTGGTTCAAAGGTCACACAACAGCAAACACAGCTTACGAATCACAGTTCATGCATGCAATAGCAGATTCGTCAGGCGTATTCAAGAAACTGGTTCAGAATCGAATAGAAGCAGAGAGTAAGGAGCAGCTTGAACAGCTCGTGTCAAGAACGATTCCAAATGAACATCAACAGTATGAAAATGCAAAGAGGCTACATGAAAAAGTCAGGAAGAAGTCAGATATGTCATCTCTTCTTACAATGTACACCCTCGAGACTCCATTGTATCGTACTTTACAAAACGAGGCTGATTCATTTGCCACCCTGATTTATTTACATTTGGCAGAACTGAAAGATCGTGCTTACAAGGGTCGAGCATACCGAGGTGGGCGAATGACGGAGAATGATATTCAAGCCTATCGTTGGGCACTACAGCGACCAGAACAAGTTCTCGAAACTCGCACTATACAATCCATGTCTTTGAACGAATCTGTTGCTCGAAGGTTTACCCAGTCAGAGCGACCAAGATATGATCGTCGAAATCGAGTAATACTGATCTTCGATTTCTCAGAGACCTGTCCGACTGCGATCAATTTAAATAGGATCTCGGAAAAGTTACCAGCATTATCAGTTCATCAAGATGAAGAAGAAGTACTTCTATTACCATTCACTTTGTTTTCTGTCAGAGAAATCAAAGTCGACTCTAAAAATGGTGAATATCGTATCACCCTCACTTACATACCAACTCCAAAAGTAGCAGCTGTAACGATCGCGCACAATTTAAAAGAGTAATGACATCTAACATGATGACTTGCTTGCTTTTTCTAGTGTATTATTTTTATTTTTGAAGGCTAGGGAATCTTTTCCCGTCATTTACTTTCTAAAAACTAAGCTACGTAGCACGCATTGCGACCGACTTTTTACTCATTCATATTTATTAAAGAAAATTTAAAATCGTAAACATCGTATCGGATAAGTTGCAACAAAACTACAATGCGTCTGCGCTCACCCAACCGTATTAACTTGAACTCTTGTTGGAAGACTGACCACAACCATAGCATATGCAGCAAATACAAAACATGACATTGTATTGTGCTATAAGGACGCAGTATGCAAAATTGTACAGAGATCGGTCACAGTAATCAGATTTGTCTGCATAATCGAACTGAACTTGAGCACGCACGTTGAACACCCACACACAGCCCTATGAAAACATGTACACGTATAAGAAGCTGAAATACGACCTACTCACTACGACGAACCATGCGAAAAAGAACAAGAAGAGTGGAATAGCAGCACCGCAAGAGATTAGAGCCGTGACTTCACATCTAGAATCGTCTCCAGATTTGTAGCAACATATTGCTCTTGTCAGAATCTACGAAAAATACAATAGTGATGATACGACATCTGTTATCGTACGAAAAAATAGATATTAATTACTAACAATGGAAATGATCACGATACAAAGAGCAAAGCCAACTGCCCCAAATACAATCATATATGTTGGTATCTTTGGTTGTATCGGACATTCCTTTATTTTCGTAATTCCAACAACCAAAGACGCCAATGGGAGAGCTGAGAACAACGGGAGGATTATGAGAACTACGATAGTAGATATGTACATTGCACGAAATTGCGATGCCATCGATCGTGCAAATGTTCCAGTATTTCGCGCCATTTTACCAATCTAAAAATACACTGATAAATACATTGAGAACAGCAAAAAATTGACTAGCACAAACGACTGGAGCGGAAGTAATATTCGACTGCTCAACATTACGAGATAGGATGCATTCTTCACTTACTCGTTTTAAACAATCTTTACTTGCTTTTAGGAAAATCACTTGAAAAACTACTCAACGTTTTCGACAAATAATTTATTTCTTCGGTTGGAATCTTCGATCGAATACAATCTAAAAAGATAAAAAGTTAGACAAGGATGGAGAAGCGGTTTTATCAGCGAAGGCATAGTATTGAAAAACAGTGCAATTGAAACAGTTTTACACAGTGTCAATAAAACATCATTAGGAAACAAAAACAAGTTAGTCCTTCTCACCAAACGCGATGTTGACTGAACCTCACATCACAATGGATGACACTTGAAACACACCATCATATACTTCATAGCCACTCCAGATCCCTGCACCACACCATCGAATCATACCTTCAACATACTGCATCATCTCCACTAACCAATGCACCTTCTCAGATGGTGACGGCGATCCCATAACATTCACCCACCACCGATATGCACCCATGAAGAAGTGGGCCAAAGCATGATTGCTCACAGTGGCATAGTTTGANGCAACTGGTGCGCTCGAAGGTCAACATTTCAATGCTACCGGCAAACTTGTCGTGCTTTCCGAACAAAATCTAATCGATTGCTCAGGTAAACAAGGTAACATGGGCTGTGTTGGCGGTGAAATCGATCAAGCTTTTCAATACATCAAAGACAACAATGGTATCGACACTGAAGATGCTTATCCATACGAAGATGATGACAATCGATGTCGATTCAAACCAGAAGGTGTTGGCGCAACTCTAACTAGTTATAACAACATCACATCAAAAGACGAAAGCGCACTTCAACAAGCTGTTGCCAATATTGGTCCTATTTCGGTCGCCATTGATGCCAGTCATAATTCATTTCAACTATACAAAGGAGGTGGTATGTACTTGATGTTCCATTGAGAACGTCATCGACTACCAATGATTTTTTTCCTAGTCTATCATGAAGTCTTCTGTTCACAAATTCATCTAAATCTTGCCGTTCTTGTTGTTGGCTATGGCACCGACAGTGGCAAAGATTACTGGCTTGTTAAAAACAGGTAAATCACGTTCGTAATTTTTCATTTCGGATAGAATGTATCGATTGGATCTTTTTCAGTGTGGGTGAAGGCTGGGGTGAAAAAGGTTATATTCGAATGACTCGTAATAAACGCAATGAATGCGGTATTGCTACAGCGGCTACTTATCCAATTGTGAACAAGTTTTAACCAATAATAAAGTCATTTTCAATTTATTTTTCTTTTGAATTCATATCATAAGAACAATAAAAATTCTTAGTTTACTTTATCTACAGTACTGACGAACAGGCGATGACGTATATAATACTATTCCAAAAATAAAATATCGATGATATAGGGAAATCTAAGCATAGAGTAGGAACACACGAACTGTGCGAAAGTTTTCTAATGTACTCACATGGCAACTTCCTATTGGTGAACCAGAACTGCGAGATTGTATCGTATCCGCCCGAGTTCCACTCTTAAAAACGATCTATCTCGTACTAAAATTTCAACGAATGTTGCACGAATCCCACACCGCAATTCGAAAAAAAAGCTTTTACAAGCGCTATAATAAAGCAAAACAAAACGCACGTCACAGTTCACATGAATAACGATTTTGATTTCTCTTTACAACAGTATGTGTCATTCGGATACGTCATCTTTGTTGGAAGAAAGGAAAAAAATGATCTTGCACAACACACCGTGTTGATTTATAATACATTACACAAAAAAAAAACAACGTGCACGAAAAGACGATAACCATCATGAGTTTTGAATTGTTACCAAACGAGATTTTACTCGATATCTTCGAATATTTCAATGGTATCGATCTTCTTCGTATATTCTATGGTCTCAACTGTCGAATCAATATGGTTCTTCACGAAAGATTTCCCACTTGTACCGTCGATTTGCATTTAGTATCAAAACGCTACTTCGACATTCTCTGCCGATCCCACTTCCCAACAATGTCGAAATACATCAGCAGTTTTCATCTCTCCGATAGTGAAGAAACTCCCAGACAAATCGAACTATTTCTTTCATCTCTATCATCATTTCAGGAACTCAGCCAATTGAAAATTCTTTCCATATCATATCTTCGTTCGCATGCAATACTAACGCAAATTCTCCAAGGATGCTTTCAACTTTCAAACTTAACTCAACTCACTTTCTCCAACTGTTATCTTCAAGATGATTGTGTCGATTTTCAATCGATCATCAATCAAATTTGGTCGTTAGAAAAACTAACTCATTGCACACTTGGAATTGCAGTCAAACGACAATGTGTCTTTTGCACGCCAACAGTCATTTCATCGACACTCAAATCTTTATCGTTCGAAAAACTTCTGATCGAACTGAAACAAATCAATCAATTATTCGAATTCACACCAAACCTTCAACGCCTGTCATTATCTGTACTGTCATTCGTTGATAGTCAATACCAACCAGCGCCGCTTCCGACTGTGACCAATTTGAATATTCATTCAGTTGTGAAGTGCGATGCATCGAATATGAGTCGTCTATTAGAAAATCTGCCCAATCTTCAACAATTATCCATAGATTTATCATGTGAAATTGTTAATGGTAATGACTTGGAAACGATCATTTCCAATCATTTACCTAAACTTGAAACTCTTCGATTAAAAATGAAAATGGTGTTATCCCCGCAACAAGATCCGGTAGCTCGTTTCCAGACATTGTTCAACTCATACCGAACTGCTTTCTGGATCGATGAACGCCGTTGGTTTGTTCGTTGCCTAACATCAGCCCGGCGGTTCTATGTATACAGTATATCGAAAATATTTGAAGAGAATATTCCACTAACATTCAACTCAACTGATCCACACGATGATGAACGAGACATCAACTACGCACTAATGAAAATTTCCTCCTACGAAATGCTCAGTGCGACGATGTTTTCGAATGCGTATTTTACGAAATTAAAGGAACTTCATATATCTCTTCCAATCGATGAAAGATTTTGGACGGCAACTCCAAATTTAAATCAATTACAAACATTAAAAATCATGTCACATACGCATACGTTTCGATCACAAGTACAGGCATTACTCAAGCGAACACCCAATCTCTATCGATTGAGTATTTGCCAACAAGAACCAACCATTTTAGCAACGTCGCTATTCAAATACACGAATGCATCAATTCGTGAACTTGATCTTCTTGATATGAGCTGTTGCTTCGATAAGCAAGATTGTTTGAAATTAAGTCTATCGCCTTTAGGCGAACAATGTGAGAAGTTATCAGTTTTAGTTGCAGATTGTCAATGCATCATCTCGTTGATCGAAAACATGTCGAAACTTCGAGTGTTAAATGTGCGATGTCGAGATGAACAGTTCGTACATACAGAGATGAACGAAGATGAACGAACGCTTTGGTTAAAAGATCATTTACCGACGGGATGTGTAGTTATTCGCAATCCCAAATGCACGTGTAATATTCTTATATGGATTTAAAAAGAAAAAGAAACTAGTTTTTTTTTGTTGTCGTTGGAAAAAGCCACATTACATGACGTTAATAAACAGAAAGAAAGAACAATTTTTTTCTTCCTAGGAAGAAATGTGTCATGCATGATTCTTTCCAACATGTGAATATGTGTTTACTTTCTTTCTGCGATAGATACATCGCACGAATAAAAGGACTTGTTCGGTTGAAATTTTACATGAACATTTGTGTAACATGGTGGACGAGATTCAAAAGCTGAAGAAAGATATTGCTGCAAATAATGTGCTGGTGTTCGTCGGCTCGGATGTATCAGTTTACACAGCAAATGGCGATGAAAATGTTTGTTTTTGGAAAGGATTATTAAAACAAGGACTTCGACAATGTTACCTCTTGAATGAAATCGATGACGCAAATTTTCAGGATATGATGAGCAAGTTGGACGCTAACATAACAAAACTGAATGATTATTTAAGTATTGCTGATCAAATCAAACATTGGTTTAGTAAGCATCCTAATGCGTATGAAGAATGGTTGATAAACACGCTCGGAGAATTACACCCACAAAAGCCTGACATGATGAAGGCTATCGCGGAATTAAACTGCCCGATCTTAACAACAAATTATGACTCACTTCTGGGAGATTTGCTCAACAAAGGTACGTTAACATGGAGTCGATATCAATACGAAGATCCATCGATAGACATAAAAGACTTCATTCTACACGTACATGGTAGTTTTCGACATACAGACACGGTGGTCTTTAACAGTGATGATTATAACAAACTTCATGAGAATAAGTTTGCCAAAGTAAAACTAAAAACACTTACTCAAGGTAAAACTTTACTATTCATTGGATATGGAACCGGTATACTCGATCCAAGTTTCTGTAAACTTCTGCAATGGATATCTGATATCACAGCACCACATTGTCCCACTATCTACAAACTCGTACGATCGAATATTAAATATTCCGTCTTAGAAAATATCATCGAAATTCCTTACGGTAATACATTTGATGATCTGATTCTATTTACTAAAAATCTCTCGTCGTTTTCGACATTTCGACGAGAGAACTTGCCATTTGCTAGTCGCCAAGAACTCGTTCGTCAGAAATATTTGAACTATATGATTCAAGAGTACGGACATGTCTCGATCTTTGGCTCTGCGAATAACGATATTTCTCTTCCGTTAGAAAGTGTGTACGTTGAATTGAAATTTGATCCAACACATCCATCGATAAAAGCAATGAAAGCGTTGGATATGAACGAAGAATTCAAACGAAAGGTTTTATCCAACGGATTTTTTACCTCGAATGAAAAAAGCAAATTAATTCAAGCGATTTTTGAACGACATTCGTTCAATCCGGAGACCATCTATCGAGATCTCATGGTCGATCAATGGCTAGACGTTCTACTCAACAATCGAGAAATCTTTTCTTTAGATGAAGCGAGTGTTATCAAGGGTAAAATCTCACGTTTGAAACGAGAAATTCTTGGAAACAACAATCTCACCGAAGCAAAACAATATCAAATTCAACAAGCATACAACGAATTCAAGCATTTCATTGTTTTAGGTCATCCAGGTTCAGGAAAAACCACAATATCCAAATGGTTGGTGATAAACATGGCTCAACAATGTTTAGGAAAGACAAATAAGCTTTTCAACAAGAATGACCATCGCATGAAGGAGAAAATACCGATACTAATTCCCATATGGAAATATGTTGATCAGATAAAAGACAATTCCAAACAACAAAAACGAAGTTTACTTCAATTTCTACAAGAAAACAGCACGATGAACTCGTTGTTGTTTACCAAAGAAGAACGAGAAGATCTTTCATTGCTGATGACTGAATATATATTACATGGAAACGTTCTGATTATCTTCGAAGGGCTAGATGAAGTTCCGGCTCATGTTGACCGAAGCGATTTGATGAAAGAGATCAACATGCTATTAGAACGAAGTATTGACTACGACGTAAAATCTGGAAAATTGATTTATTCACTTCATGAACAAAAGGAAATCAACAACACTAAAGATCCAACCATTGGGAATCGTGTGATTATTACCAGTCGAATTGAAGGGAACTATTTCGAAGAGATTAACTTCTACATTCCAAGATTAACCATTCAAGACATGTCGAATGAAGCGTTGAAAATGTTTTGTAGTTCGTATACGAAATGTATCCGAGGAGAAGCCATCGATGAATCATTAGCCAGTCAATTGTATACGGATATCACAGAGAATAAAGATATTTTTCAACTGGCAATTAATCCGCAGTTAGCGAGTGTAATTGCTGCAGTGTATAATCAATACGATGATAAACTACCGGAGAAGCGAATCGATTTGTATGACAAAGCAATTGAGAAAATGATCGAACGATTGGTCACTTCTTCACTTCATCAAGATCTTCGATTAACTGTGACTATGCTATGGACAATATTGCAAGATATCGCGGACTATCTTCACAGTCGAGTTGATGGTTTGTCGGAGAATAGTTTGAGAGATATTATTCAGAAACAAAAGGTTTTCAATGATGCGGAGGACTCCACGTCAAAACTTGTCGACATATTCAAATATAAAGTTGGTTTGTTGAATGAATTTGGGTATAACAGTTTTCGGTTCATCCATCGAACATTTCAAGAATATCTCGCCGCGAAAAATATTGTCTATTCCAATGGCATCCAGCGATCGGAAGATGTCATCTTCCAGACGATTCGAAACAAAATCGATGTTCCCAATTGGCGAGTTCCTCTTCACATGACATTCGGAATCCTAAGTAAATATCATCGGGAGAATGGATTATTCGATAGAATTCTTACAAGACTATTAGCACACGAACAAACCTCATCAGTCTCAGCATTGATCGTTCCATTTGTTATAATCGATTCGTTGAGTGATATCTATTTTCCATCGACATGCAGTCAACGTCAAATGATTCGCGTATTGGCTGATATGTTATTATCGGATTACAAAGATCTATCAGGCTTCTCAAGATTAAAAGAGCATCAAGAATTAATTCACTTCTATTTCTCGAAACTGAACAAAATATCGATCCTAACAATGATCGGATGGTTCAACGAAAAACTTCACGACAAACAACATTTAGCACCATGTGCGAATATAATCCATCAATTGAAATGGTATTGCCCGAAATTTCATGAGACATTTCTACAAAATCTACACTACGACTCACATGTTTGGAATTGGCCGATCGATGCACTTTTACGATATTATTCTACTGAAGTCAAAGATTCAGCGGTGACAAGTCAATTGATAGTTAAACATAAATTTCTCACGAACGTTGACTTGCTAAACTTTGTCAAAGCTGATTCGGAGTGGCTATGTTTGATAATTGCACTTTACGGTGGACACAAGAATCACAATGTTGCATCAACAATCGCAGAGCTTAATCGATTGGGTTTATTCCTTTGTTTAAGTGGCAGTGAAAGAGCACCGTTTCTGTTTTACTTTCAAAATATTTGGGGTGTAGAAGATCCGGCCTACAATATGGCTGTACATGCTGATAAGATAGAAAATGACAATCATTGGTATGATTTGCCAACAATTAGTACAGATGATATTTATAAAGAATCGTTTCATACAACAAAAATTTGCGAATTACTGGCGAAACAACGACCTAAGAGCGACTTAGTGAATGAATTTCGACAACAGATTGATACTCAGCAGTGTTGTCTTGGTTCGAAAATCGAAGCATTTCTAGTATTGATCGTGTTAGAAGACTTCGATTTTGTCAAAATGACAATCAAGAACGAAGATGACGTATTTATCAAACATTTGGTTGGTAGATTGGAGCAGACTATCTCTGTCCTGAAGGATCCCATCGCCAGATCATCATCGTACATGATACCACATCTTCTCAACACTTATAATCATGTAAAAACAAACACTCGTGGCTGTGATTTGAAATTTGCTGATTATTGCACGATCCATTTATCTTCAGTTGCTAATAGTGGCGGATTACCATTAGATACGAGTGCATTAGCTGATACCGTAGAAGATCTCAATGATAAATATGCTCTATACGCCGAATACTTCGCTTTCAAATTGACGGACAGTTTTCGCGGTCAAATGGAGCATGATGTTAGAAAATGTTTAGATACATGTATGAAATCAATGAACAGCGATGTACTTATTCAATCGTTTTTAAAAATCAATGACGCAGTTCAGATTTACAAGCCACTTCGAGAATACTCATGGCCAATGGATATGTTTTCTTTTCGACTGATTCAAACAGATGATATTCCAATTGCATTCTTCAACTGTCTGGAAAACATGCATCCGAACCTGACCATCGCTCTCGAAACTATCTGTGACATTTTCATCCGTGATGGATATTTCGTTCGCAACCCGGAACTGATTCCATCGATTATCCTACTAGTCTTCGGAGTTATCTCAAAAGACTTAAATATCACGAACATCTATGCGAAATTACTTGTTGATGTAACAGATGAGGTGAACATAAAAGAATTCCTCATGGCAAGGATCTCATCAATGTCTAATCCATACTATAAAGCAAGAGCATTATATCAATTTGCGCAGTATGATGATGAACGAAATCTGGAACTTCTCAGTGAAGCGTTCGATCAAACCAAAATTATTGCAGAGGCAAGCTTGCGGTTTCAAGTTTTAGAAAAAATATATGCAGTCCTACAAGTCAAACAAACAAATCAAAATGCATTCACTCAAACGATCATTCGAGAATTGGTTTCCACATGGAATCAGATCGAGCATCTTCATGATCGCACGATCGCATCAATCCGATTAGCGTTTTACGGATCAGGTGACTTTCGCAAAAAATATTTAACACACGCGTTGGAATTTTTGAGTCACATGGATGAAAATAGAGATAAAATCAGACTTCTCGTCAAGTTAAAACCCCTTATGTCTATCTACACTGATCTTCACGACACGTTAAACTTGATCATTAACAATCTTCAGAGTGAAACACACAGAAACTTTGTCCATGGACTCTACGGGAAAATTCTATGTACTCAAAAGTACAAGGATCTTTCCACCAACAATCAATTGGAATGTCTATTTCGACTCTTTACAAACTTGAATGATGCAAAAATGATGATTGGGGAAGATGAAAGCTTGACTCGTCTTTGGATAAACCTCTATCGAGATGTCGACAATCAGTCGCACCTTGAAAAACTATTGAAAATTGGTTTAGTAGATGAATTGTTTCTCACTCCGCAGGTCGCCGTTATTATAGATGAATTAATTCAACAAGGAAGAGGAGATGCCATCTCGGTTTTATATCCGTATATCATCAAACCATCGAATGAAGTTCTGCCAATCGTGCAACGATGGTTTACTGATTATCACGACAAGAAAATCAACAAATTAGCTGCTCTGTTGCTGGCAGAAAGCAAATACATTTTCGAATCAGCAATCGATACGATCGTGGATTTGTTCAAAATAGATAATGACCAGATGAGATATCGAGCCCAACGAGTCTTCCAACATCCCGAACGAGATCCGACGACACCAAGTAAAAGAATCTCTGTCTTAGGAGAAAGAACAGTATTGAAAATTCTACAGACTGCATCCATGGAGCATCTTCCGCGTGTTAAAATTTATCTGCGCAGCTTTTTCTCAGATGTTCTCTGGGATGATCCGGAGATCTTCGAAAATTTGCAGAAAAGTGTAGCGAAATTGAAAGAAGAAAAACCCGTGAGGCCAGGAAGAATGTGGTTCTTTCATCGAATAAAATTCATCAATCAACAAACTTGGAATGCTCTGATAAACTCAGCTCAACTATCAACAGATGCTTCTTATATAGAAGAATTACTCCATTCAGTGATGAATTTAACGATCAATGGAAGAATTCGACAGGATCAATGGCAACAATTCGCCGTTGTATTGGCCACTGTAGATACAACACGATTTAGTGAGAAAGTATATCTTACCAGGCGAGAATTGCAGGTAATCGACTTTATTCTGGAGGAAATTTGTGTTTCAGCCGATTTGAATGATGAATTTTATTTTATGAATCTTGAATCGAAACTAATCGATCAATGTACAACGCAAGTGGAAAATTTCCATCGAACTACTTACGATCGAATGCAAGATATCAGTTTTTGTAATTTTCGTGTTTCCGTCATGGAATTGAACAGAGAAATACTACAGCGAATCGAGAACATTCATATTACTCTAGCAATTCTGGAGAATTTAATACAATGGTTAATACAAAAACTGTTCATGTTCGACGAATGTGATGATTCAATATATTCATTAATGATTACTGATAATTTACTAAGTTTAGTAGCAGCATGTGTGCAAAAAGAAGACTATCTGTATCGGAAAATCACGAATAATCAAAAATTTGATAAATTCCAAATGATCAAACTTCTAGTGAAGACGATTCATCACCATCCGTACTTCCCCGCACGTGGAAGCGCTTTTATTTTACTTGCAGCAATCGATTTACCAGATCATCGGATCATTATCGATGTTTTGAGCGCACTATTCGACGAAAATCTTGTCAAAGAATATACAACTATTGGAATGCCGCTAATACATCTGTCCTCGAACGAATTTGTCGACGACTTGTTGAAATCTTTAACAAATGAAAGTGCAATTAAAGTTTATGAAACGTTAAAAATCATCACACAATTCGTTCTCGACGAGAAACTCGACGCGCATACGAAATCGAAAATTGTTCAGTATTTAGCTCACGAGATTGGAGAATTCAAATCGAAGAAAGTCGTCAGCTATTATTACACAGATGTAAGCATTCCATTCACAACAACGTTGGAAAATGAATTATATAAAACATGGACGAAAATACAAGGACTTTCGGGTAAAACACAATATGCCATGACAACTAATCAATAAATAAACGATCAGAACAATGTAAAGATACGACAAATAGTTTTTTTTTTCGAAATATAAACATAATATATATCGATTTATTTTAACATAAGTAAAGGTTTTATGTTTATAATTGTAAATGACAAAAACTAAATATGACCGATAACTAGACGTTCAATGAATATCATGACAAAAGGAGAATACATTCATGTGTCCTAGTGTTGTATGTTACGGAATCAAATTATTTGACCGCGTTGTCACATATTTCGAACCTCAGTTCCTACCAACTTCAGATTTCCATAGGAGAATCACACTCACATCTTCACGATTTCAAAGGAAGAACACTCAAATACGATGTTGACTTTATTTTTATTTGCTTTCCAACTTGACTCACCTTAAACACATATGCAATTTCTGTTACATTTTCATCGCTTACAAAACATTTGCCGTTTCTTATCTTCATTCTTATTCAACATTTGTATATCTGAGGGCGAAGTATTGTTGATAATAAATATTCTCTAAGACGTACAACAAAACAATACTGCTGTAATGGGTAATGTTATACGTAAGAAGACCGAATACAAAATTGGACAAGCTAGTCTGTTTTATTGGGCATGCAAAGAAGGTGATATAGCAGCAGTTCGCCAAATGCTCCCAAACATGACCTACGAACAAGTTAATCAACTTGAGCCTCTCGGAAGTACAGCCCTTCATGCAGCCGTATTCTATAATCACCCACATATTGTTCGACTGCTACTCGAAAATGGATGTTCACGTACAACTCTGAATCGTCATGGAGCCACAGCATATGAAGAAGCATCTACTGAGGAAATTCGAGCATTATTCAATCGACCTGCATCAGACAGATTCGTCGATGAGCACATGACCCAAACATTTCAACTGGTCAACCCCAAGGGTAACAGTGTTGACATGAAAGATGGCATACCAGATGATTGGTTCAAAGGTCACACAACAGCAAACACAGCTTACGAATCACAGTTCATGCATGCAGTAGCAGATTCGTCAGGCGTATTCAAGAAACTGGTTCAGAATCGAATAGAAGCAGAGAGTAAGGAGCAGCTTGAACAGCTCGTGTCAAGAACGATTACAAATGATCATCAACAGTATGAAAATGCAAAGAGGCTACATGAAAAAGTCAGGAAGAAGTCAGATATGTCATCTCTTCTTACAATGTACACCCTTGAGACCCCATTCTACCGTACTTTACAAAACGAGGCTGATTCATTTGCAACCCTGATTTATTTACATTTGGCAGAACTGAAAGATCGTGCTTACAAGGGTCGAGCATACCGAGGTGGGCGAATGACGGAGAATGATATTCGAGCCTATCGTTGGGCACTACAGCGACCAGAACAAGTTCTCGAAACTCGCACTATACAATCCATGTCTTTGAACGAATCTGTTGCTCGAAGCTTTATCCAGCCAGAGCGACAAAGACATGATCGTCGAAATCGAGTAATGCTGATCTTCGATTTCTCAGAGACCTGCCCGACTGCGATCAATTTAAATAGGATCTCGGAAAAGTTACCAGCATTATCAGCTCATCAAGATGAAGAAGAAGTGCTTCTATTACCATTCACTTTGTTTTCTGTCAGAGAAATCAAAGTCGACTCTAAAAATGGTGAATATCGTATCACCCTCACTTACGTACCAACTCCAAAAGTAGCAGCTGTAACGATCGCGCACAATTTAAAAGAGTAATGACATCTAACATGATGACGTGCTTGCTTTTTCTAGTGTATTACTTTTATTTTTGAAGGCTTGGGAATCTTTTCCCGTCATTTATTTTCTAAAAACTAAGCTACGCAGCATTGTGAGCGACTTTTTACTCATTCATATTTATTAAAGAAAATTTAAAATCGTAAACATCATATAGGATAAGTTGCCACAAAACTACGATGCGTCTGTGCTCACCCAACCGTATTAACTTGAACTCTTGTTGGAAGCTTGACCGTAACCATAGCAGATACAGCAAATACAAAGCATAACATTGTATTGTGCTATAAGGACGCAGTATGCAAAATTGTACAGAGATCGGTCACAGTAATCAGATTTGTCTGCATAATCGAACTGAACTTGAGCACGCACGTTAAACACCCACACACAGCCCTATGAAAACATGTACACGTATAAGAAGCTGAAATACGACCTACTCACCACGACGAACCATGCGAAAAAGAACAAGAAGAGTGGGATAGCAGCACCGAAGGAGATTAGAGCCGTGACTTCACATCTAGAATTGTCTCCAGATTTGTAGCAACATATTGCTCTTGTCAAAATCTACGAAAAACGCAATACTGATACGACATCTGTTATCCAACGAAAAAATAGATATTAATTACTAACAATGGAAATGATCACGATACAAAGAGCAAAACCAACTGCCCCAAATACAATCATATATGTTGGTATCTTTGGTTGGATAGGACATTCCTTTATTTTCGTAATTCCAACAACCAAAGACGCCAATGGAAGAGCTGAGAACAACGGTAGGATTATGAGAACTACGATGGTCGATATGTACATTGAACGAAATTGCGACGCCATCGATCGTGCAAATGTTCCAGTATTTCGCGCCATTTTGCTAATCTAAAAAGACAGTGATGAGTATATTGAGAACAGCAAAAAACTGACTAGCACAAACGACTGAAGCAGAAATAATATTTGAAAGCTCAACATTACGAGATAGGATGCATTCTTCACTTACTCGTTTTAAACAATCTTTACTTGCTTTTAGGCAAATCACTTGAAAAACTACTCAACGTTTTCAACAAATAATTTATTTTCTTCTGTTGGAATCTTCGATCGAATACAATCTAAAAAGATAAAATGTTAGACAAGGATGGAGAAGCAATGTTTTCAGGCATAAGATGGTGAAGCGGTTTTATCAGCGAAGGCATAATATTGAAAAACAGTGCAATTGAAACAGTTTTATACATTGTCAATAAAACATCATTTAGGAAACAAAGAAAAGTTAGTCCTTCTCACCAAACGCGATGTTCATTGAACCTCACATCACAATGGATGACACTTGAAACACACCATCATATACTTCATAGCCACTCCAGATCTCTGCACCACACCATCGAATCATACCTTCAATATACTGCATCACATCCACTAACCAGTGCACCTTCTCAGACGGTGAGGGCGAGCCTACAACATTCACCCACCACCGATATGCACCCATGAAGAAGTGAGCCAGAGCATGGTTGCTCACAGTAGCATAGTTTGACGAAACAACACCGTCGACAACGATAGTTCCAGATGGAGTGAGAGGTGCATAGTATCCTTGTGCTTTGATCAGTTTTATGCTAATGATCTCACCAGGCACTGTCTGTTCATTTTCGATGAACTGAAGTCGATCGCCGACATGGAATTTGCCTGCAAAACGAGCAATGTTCGAATCGAAGTCGAATACGAGATGATTAGGAGACACGAGCAGAACGGAAGTTGAGTTGGAGAGAGGTGAGCGGGTGGTGACTTGAAGGAAATCGAAGAGACCATGTTGTTTTGCATGAATGAAAGCAATAACTGGCTCGTAGGTGTGATCTTTATTCACTCGTACACGATCGCCGATTTGTAGATGAGATAAAGATTTCGATGAGCCATTGGCGAGCTCAATGAGACTCGAGCCAGCAAAACACACAGCTGTAATCTTTTCCATCGAACAAGCATATTCCTCACAGGCATCATTTGAAACTGAGAGACAGGTACACGCGTGCGTATACCCATAGTGGTAAATAGCGAAGTGATTGTAAGTATAAGTAGTCTCGAGGTTGTAAATTGCAGCCATTATCACGGTGTAGAGCACTTGAAAGGTCATTTATGAAAGCAATAATATAGGAGAACGGCGGAGAATTAAAATAAAGTTTATAGAAAATCTGAAAAGGAAGAGTAGTGGTAGATGACAATATATACTCAGCTATTAAAAACTGAACGTTGAAATTTGCCCATTTCATGATATACTATGCTCGTGTAAAAGCATAGGAATTCAAGTTTAAAAACTGTAAAGAGATCTGGTACTGAATTCTATTATTTCGTATTGATATTAGGTTGGAATAGCGTTCAGAATAATTCAAGAATCTTTTTTTTAAGTTCTAAAATAGCTTTGATTGTGTTCTTATCAGGTCATTATTTACGAAGGAGAATTCTTTCTCCGAAAGCTGTTCTGTTTCAAAAGCACTATGACAGTTTATTCAAGGTGGCCACGTGAAAAGATGTCTACAAATACCTACATAACAACAGTTTTTTTATTCTCTATGTTGGAAAGTGACTTTTTTTCCGTGATATGCATCTTCCGAATCTTGCATATATTGTAAAAAGCTAGTGGATATACTCTTATCAGCGATTTCTTCTAGCAGCTAAAAATCGAACAGCAGAGTATTTCCGACTGAAGTATTTAAACAAATAGAAACGTACTGAAACGCGATGAAGAACATTTTATAAGAAAGAAAAGCTTTTCCATGGGGCAGAATATATGATCTCGAAGATATAGAAAAAAATGATGTGTTCAATGTTTCTTATTCTCACCACATACGATGTTCATTGAACCTCACATCACAATGGATGACACTTGAAACACACCATCATATACTTCATAGCCACTCCAGATCTCTGCACCACACCATCGAATCATACCTTCAATATACTGCATCACATCCACTAACCAGTGCACCTTCTCAGACGGTGAGGGCGAGCCTACAACATTCACCCACCACCGATATGCACCCATGAAGAAGTGAGCCAGAGCATGGTTGCTCACAGTAGCATAGTTTGACGAAACAACACCGTCGACAACGATAGTTCCAGATGGAGTGAGAGGTGCATAGTATCCTTGTGCTTTGATCAGTTTTATGCTAATGATCTCACCAGGCACTGTCTGTTCATTTTCAATGAACTGAAGTCGATCGCCCACAAGAAATTTGCCTGCAAAACGAGCAATGTTCGAATCGAAGTCGAATACGAGATGATCCGGAGACACGAGCAAAACGGAAGTTGAGTTGGAGAGAAGTGAACGGGTGGTGATTTGAAGGAAGTCGAAGAGACCATGTTGTTTTGCATGAATGAAAGCAATAACTGGCTCGTAGGTGTGGTTTTTATTCACTCGTACACGATCGCCGATTTGTAGATGAGACACAGATTTTGACGATCCATCTGGAAGTTCGACACGACTCACACTAGCGAAACAGGATATTGATACTGTTGTTTTGCATGAATAGTGCATGCAAACACTGCCGTTGAGCGAAAGACAACTGCAAGTGGAATCATAAGTTTGGGAAGCAGCAGATATTTCGTTGGTTTTGATAAGCAGTGCCACAATTATGGCGCATATGAGGGTTGATATATTCATGGTAGTTGAGCTAGCCATATATATACGTTGCAGTTGATTCTAACACTTAATGCTGAAATAATAAAGGATGTGGTGTGCGAATTGTTCAGTAAGATCGGTCAGAGATATCTATAATATAATAAAGAAGGGAGTGCGTTTTTTTGTCATGAGAGAAGAGTTCTTTCTGCTCAGGCTGTACGTCGTTCTCACAAACTCAAGCCATCAGACTGTTTGTGAGAATTTTCGGCGACAAATATATAACCGTATACGTTCTATAGGTGAAGTATTTACCGAGAAGTTTTAGTTTGTCGCAAAACGCTTCAACCCGTTTATAATTGTTTTTGTTCTTATCTTTAGAATTGACGACTTTTACATTCCATCATGCAGCAAACATGTGATCACTGTTTTTTTTTCTGGCAAAAAGTGTATTCATGCTCCTCTTGTCTATCTCGTCGCCATAGTTTCGTTTGTTCAGATGTTTGCATGCACGAAACGACGCTGGAAACAATACAACTGCAAATTAGCCTTTTCGAAGTGACAGATATAAGTTAAATATAATGTTTCGTTTTCCACGGTAGCAACTACCGCTCCGAACATGAATGATTTTTTCGAGTCCGACATTATTTCTTAATTGATGTATGATTCATCGCGTCTATCGAACACGTAGAATAAAAAGAAACAATTTTTTTAAAATCTTTATCTGCAATACAAAATGGCTTCCCGTCCTAATCGTGCCTGCTCAGCATGTATAAGATTAGCATGGATTGATGTATCTCAAGTCGAACAATTGCAACGAGTATTTGATCCACATGCAGTTGATATAGTTTGAATCAAAACACATAGGTAAGTTTAAGTTATTCTTTGAGATGTTACAAATGGCAGCAATGGGCGAACTCCAAAAGTCTTCTTCAAACTGCAACGACAAAGCGAGAAGGAAAACAAGCATTCGGTGAATGTATTTCCCCAATAATTCAACAGTTGTCAGATGGCAATGAAAATGACAAAGGCAAAATAACAGGGATGCTACTCGAATTGGGTGATGATGAACTTCAATTCAGCCGAGTGTTTTAATCGAAAAGAAAATGAATTCAAATCATTGATTTGATCGTTTTGGGTTCAGCAAGCTCGTGACGTTCTTAGAGTTTATTTTGAAAAGCAAGTTCAGATAGAATTGGCATCCCGCATCTAATTCAAAATCAGAACATCATAACTACCAAGAGAAAAACAAAGAAAATATTCGAGCGCTACGAAGATTCCTAAGACAATGTTCGTGTTTACCAGTCTAGGTCTTAAGTATTTAAACTTCGCTGATTAGATGAAAAATAAACAACTCCACGTGAAAAAAAACATGTGATAAAACAAACTTCGGATCGATTAAGCAACGTGATTCTTTTCTCACAATCGACAGAACGACAAAACGAGTTATCTATGTTTTAAAACCATGCGTAGAGAAGAAAAGCAAGGATGGCCGATAAAATGGATGTACGATCGTTATTCGAGGACGATTTGCACAATGGTTTGGTTTGCAAGGAAGATTTCAGCGAATATTTAATTGGATATGTCATCAATAGAAATCATGTTGAACTCGATCGAATATCCCAATTAGTGATTCAATGTCAATCAAGTTTATTATTCGAAAATATGAAGAACTCTACAGATGAAGCTGGTTTTCTTGTTCATCAATGGTCATTAGAAAAACTCAAAGATATTCTGTCATCTCCGCAATCAACATTAATCTGCATCGTGGATACTGCTGAAAATCGATTAGCAGGTTATTTATTATTAACATCCATCGAATATTTTCATAAAGACACAGATTCCCAACATGGAGAACTTATTCTCGACAAGAATTCAATAACTGATCAACAATGGATACAATGGACCTCATCTCCGGCGATTCATTACATCAAACAAATAGGTGTTAACAAGAATTATCATCGACGAGGCATCGCGACACATTTAATTAACCTTGCTAAACTGCAAAGTAGTCAAGGACTGTGCACACTTGTTATCGTAGCACCTTATTGTAATGCGGCATCAGCGAATTGTTTTCGGAAAAATCAATTTCAACCGATTGCTGATTGGAATCAGAAAATCTCCGAAGGATTTGTTCCGTTCACGGCAACACTTTTTCTTTGGCCTTCAGTGATGTCTCATAATGTTGGATAAAACGAAAAAGAAGACTGTTGTACTAAATATAGCATCGCGAATCGAGTTTTATATACTGCGTGCAAATAACACTATCAACGCGCAATGTCGGATAATCCAAGCGCATCAATTTTTGTTCCGAATGTCTTGTACGAACTATTAAGCATTAGTATCATTTCTTAGTTTTGACTACATAGATATCCATTGCAACATATATCGGATTTTCCTTTCACGTGTATTTCATATGCTGGGAATTATCCAATGCCCACACACGCATTATGTTGCGTATATGTATAACTTGAAACTTGAATTCATCTTTCAACTTTGACACTACTGGCCGAAGCATAGCGGAATAAAATTATCACAGAACGCAACCAGTTGAGGCATAAATCGTCCTTTTTCTTCTCATTGCAGAGCATGGTTCCCAACGAACTTAGACAAACTACAACCAAAAAATTCGTCCTACCATCGGTGGTGACCGTAATTATTGCGCTCTTAATGTATTGGATATGGTCTAATAAAACACCAGATGCATGCAATTTAACTGGAGTTTTCCAACGTGATTTCAACATATATTACGGTCTTATGGGTGTTAGCAATCCGTTACTGATCCGTAGTGCAGAGCAATCTAATACTGCCAACAGCGAATGTCGTGTGTTTTATGATGCGATGAATATTTTACCACCTGATAATACTGCATCGATTGAGTCAAGAATAATTCTGGCAGCCCGAGGTGCTGGTAAAACACAGATTAGACAATGTGTACTCTCTCGGCTTCCTCTCGAGAAGCATATGCTGGTGAAAATCTATGGAGTAGATATTACAACTTATTTAGATAACTTCATTAAAAATACCCACTCCAATGATACTAAACATGGTTTTGAACAGATTCGTAACCTTTGGTCAACGTAAGACTTTCTGCATGTTATGTTAACTGAAATGTCGGCACTTCTTGTTGACGAAAAATACTTTCCAATCGTAAAACAAAACATTCATCAACTTACCTTACAAATCCGTAAAGATATTGCTGCTCTATTAGGATTTTCTTCAACAAAGAATTCCCAAACTTTATGCAACATGGTTGAACTATTACTTCCTGAAACAAAGACTTCTACTTGGTTTTTTTGGAGTAGAAAATTGTGTGATGATGCCATTTCGGAACCAATCCTCGACAAAGAAGTGTTCGATGATTTGACCGCGAAACATCAAGATATTAGAGTCAAACTGGACCGCACAAATACGGATGCACTCAAAGTACTAGTAGCAATGAAGGTTAAAACCGGATACGATTTAGCATCACTACTAGAGCGTTCTTATCGTGATCAATTACGCATACTTGTGAACTTTCTCAACATGATGGATATTGGTATAACGGTGATAATGGATTCGCTTGATGAAACAGAGATTTTTTTCGATAAACAAGACATCAACTTCAGCGCATTGCAAACGTTTGTGAACTCTTCAGTTAATGATGAAGTTCTGCAAATGGTATTGGGTAATTGGGGTAAAGGAGGTAATAAATTCAATAAGCTTTCCTTTCATTTCTTTATTCCGGAAATACCGAGAGCTCCATTTAAAATTTCGTGGAGTCGGCAAGATAAGATTCCTGTCACTAAATTAGAATGGGACGAACTCAAGCTGATTAATTATGCCGATTATGTTTTGGATCACTTACGAAAACAAGCAAAACATCAATGCCGTCCCTTACCAGATATATGTTCGTTATTTGGCGACGAGAAGTTATGCAGCAAATACATACGGCTCCTACGGCATCCTCGTGATTTAAATATATTTTTCAAGAAATTAATTCAACGTATGAATACAGTTTGTACCAAACGAAATCCACCATTCATTGCCACTGAGGACGATCTAGAAGCTGTGCGCAAGATCGTCGAAACCGAAGTTCTGAAAGAAGACTAAGTCTAAATGATAGGTGCAGCCGACTAAAAGACTCTTTTTTGTGTTTTGTTTATTCCTTTTAATATAAAGTGGAAACTGCATCTGACAAAACCGATGAGTCATATTTGTTTGCATTCACAAGTGAGAATAACTGATCAGATGACTGACTTTTCTGTTTGATTTTCATATAACAGAAATAATCAATGTTGTTGTTTTTTCTTTCTTGTTGAACACTGAGCAGATTGATGTCTACGTTAACAAAAGCAAGACGGAATAACTACCGAGTGAAAGAATCAAATATCTTTCAGAAGAATTTTCACAAGTATACATTTTCCTTTGCGTATAGTTCAATGTAGTTTTATTTAATCAATGGCCGTATCAGAAAAGTTGCATAAATTCTCATCGAGAATTTCCGCTTTCTTTTTCAACTACTCGAGTGTACGAGAAATCGAAGTACAACGCACGTTCGTCGGCATACTACATCGTGTACTTCAACTTATTGTTTTATCCTATATCTTTCTGTTAGTAGTCACAGACGTTTTGCTTTATTCCATGATCTCAATTATCTTTCTTAGCTATATTGTCTGGAGAAGGAAAGGATACCAACGGTTTCAAGAACCGCATGGCTCAAGCATTATTAAAGTCAAAGGAATCGGACGTGTTGTAGTAGGGAATCCATTATTTCTCCCTGGTATCTCAGCAGACATTTCACAGATATAGGATGATTTTCTTTGAATATATATTTAGACAATCAAACGCAAGTCTTATGGGATGCAAGTGAATTCGCTATTCCACCAATCGTATGTATCACTCAGCACTCTATTTTCCTTACCCAAATGAATTCTATGATTACAGGAAGAAAATACGTTCTTCATTGCCACTCGCAAAACAATTACTTACGACCAAACACTCAGTGTCTGTCCGAGTGTAAGTTTGCAATTCAGTTGTAACAAACATCGCATACATATGTGTGAAAATGTAGGCGTTGAATGAACAATTGTTTTGTAATGAAATAAATAATCCTTGTAAACAAGGAAAACCAACAAATAATACATTTGGTAAATAGATATGCAGATCGATGCTTGTTGTCTTATACTATGCAGTTTTTATACGTAGGTTTTCAAACGGGAAAATGTGTGCCGAGTTTTGAAGATCGAACAAAACGCGTCTGTGAAATAAATGCTTGGTGTCCTGAAGAACTAACCAATTCGACGTGCGATGTTCGATTAATTCCAAATAGAAAAGTCTAGATTTAGTTTTGTTTTAGAGACGATCAACTTGATGTGAGTGATCTGCAGAATTTTACTGTTTTTATTAAAACAATCGTGTCGTTCGGCGAATTCAACATAAAACTGTATGTTGGCTTTTCTCTCTTATTTTCGTTGACACTCATTTTCGTTGATTTCTATAGACGAACTGTGAAGGTTGACACAGAATTCTCCTGTCGGTTCAATCCTGATACTGCTGCACGTTGTCCGATTTTTCGTATTGGTTATATTCTAGAAAGACTTCACAAGGAAGATTCCACAAAGAATCTGACGGCATTGTATTCTCATGTAATACTGGAATGACTCCGTATTTTGTTACATATTCTCCTTTGAATTCCACTAGGGTGGTTTAATCGAGATCAAACAAAACTGGAAGTGTAATTTCGATTTCGAAATCGACCGTACCGGATGTTTTCCTACTTACTCTTTCAAATTGTTGCAAGATGGAGATGATCTTTTTTCACCAGGAATCAATTACCGGTAGGACGTTCATTAGTTCCTCTTTGCTACTACATCGTTCTTGGTTTTAGATATGTGAACAAATATCGTGTCAACGGAATTGAATATCGCACGTTGACCAAAATGTATGGACTTCGTTTTGTATTGGCAATCACTGGCGAAGTGGGAGGATTCGATTTGTATTATCTGTTTTTAGCTATTGGTGAGTTTTCATTCGGTGAACTTAGACCGATAGTCTGTACTGTTCGATTCTTTCAGGATCGGGAATTAGTTGGATGGTTATCGCTGATTTCATCTGCGAATTTATCTTTAAATATATCCATAAGAATAACGAACAATATTGCCAAGGAAAGATTTTCATCTGTGATTTAGTTCAAGACAGGAATATTGTAACGATAAAATTGTAAGACAATTCGAATCATATTGAAACGCGGTATTCTCACTTTGAAAGAGTCACATGCTGATCTTCATTATCTCGCGTTTTTTTCGTAATCTTATATAAATCTTATTGTTTTTTACGTGGCTCGAATAAACATGTGAAACATGATATGTAGAATTACTCGGCATATTTCGTTTCTTCTTAAATTGGTATCAGTTCGATATCGTTTGCATATCAATCATTCAATATGATGAAAACCACCATCTCGTATTTCGCACTCTTTCTGCTCAGGTGAGTGCTATCTTCATTATTTTAAAGTTGGTTCCGAATTTTTCATTTTAGTATGACAGTTCGAGTGAAATCTCAAGTATGTCAGAATGTTGATCAATACGGGCAATGTTCGGTCAATAGTGCCTGCGGTTGTTTTCATATGGTGAATGCTGACAACGCTGGTGTATGCGGTTTTCTTTGGCCAAGTTGTTCGCATCTTTCATCATGCAATTCTGCAAATAACACTTGTCAGTCGTCGGATACGGTCTGTGTTCATCATCCTCGATGTCAAAATGCACCGGTTTGTTATCCTGTGTCAATGATTGATCAACGGGTGTGTCCACCAACGACAAGTAAATACAGAACTAATCTTTCTCAATTACAATCTTTCTCTATAAATAGCGACAACTCAACAAACAGGTATTGCCGTCCAATGGTAACGTTTTATCGAAAACTTTTACAATTCTTTTTGGTATAGTAGTTACATCAACGACATCGATACCGTGGTCAACTACAACCACGACTTCTGTCCAACCGAGTAATGTTACATTGTTTTGTCTCACTATTCGTATTATTTTCTTTTTACGAAGAATGTCCAAGGTTAATAACGTTTGATAATATTCTTAATGCTGTCCGCATACCACAACCCATTCCACCTGGATACTCTGGTTTTCAATGGGTAAATGCAAATTACATGAATGTCACTTATCATGAGCAGATTAATGGCTCATCAGGCTATTCTAATGCCCTGACAAGTGGTCATTTTATTGCAGTGAATAAAGATGGTCAAAATCTACACATGATCAATAACGCTGCTAAGAGTTTTAGTTTGAAATCGTTGATAGTAGCATCTGCTTGGAACAACAATCTTATATTAGAAATTACAGGCAAGCGCGGTGGAACGATTTCCAATACACGAAGAATCACATTACAAATGCAATCGCAACGTGTAGATCTGGATTGGTCATTCCTGGAAACTGTCTCTTTCTCAGCTGAGGATTCGAAGTCAAATGCGAAAGGCAGAGAAACATCGTTTGGAATTGATAATTTATGCATAGAATTTACGAAATAAATTCATTTTGCATTTGCTCTTCAAATTATAAACATATGCACTTTAGATGAGAATAGGAAAAAAACAAAATAATAATCTGAATCGGTAATAAGAGCTCGTTTCATATGCAATATACTCATGATTTGTTCCTATACTACCACTGCATATATTATAGGTCCAGTTTCGTGCAAAATAATACAGGATGATTCATTAAACATAATTTCTAGTACTGCCACATTTTTACATTCTATATTCAAATCATAGTCAGAATGTTAAATTATTCGTGAGAGAAGACTATTACCGTGAGGTAATCTTATACACGTAGTGTGATTTTATGCGATGCATCACTGTGGCGACATTTCAAGTCTGCTAACGCTTTTAGTCAATCTATCTCATTGTGTGAAGTATTGCTGCATCGCCACCTTTTCCCTGTCACAAACAGAGTGTAACCGTAGACTAAGATGCATGTTTTCTACTCCGCTTGTAACTAAGGCAAAATGAGTTCTGCAGAAAAGAATTCTACAAGCTTCTCATTCTTCTGCGGCTTTGAACGACGCGAAACATCAAATGTGTCATTTTCGTCTATAGTATTCTCCTTATGTTTTTCATCCCATCATCGATCGACAATTACGTCAAAATCTAAGTTATTATACATTTCCGCGAGTACTCATCGTTATTTTCCGAACAAATCTCGTGAAACTTTCACATTTTCTACACATTGGTATTGCCATGCCATAAAACAATGCGAGTTGTCTCAGTTGGATGCATTATGACTCTGTATTTCGTAGCTTTAGCAATGTACTGATGTTAAGGATTTCATCCTTCGCCGTTGTTTGAACGTTTACACTGTTTTCCCAGTAGTTTTTCGAAAACTAGTTGTTCAGCGGCATTACGAAAAGCAATGTCGCAAGTAGCGTAGAATAAATGTTCAGTTTTTAGTTTCATGAAATGTTTATGCATAGTGCGAAATCTCAACGTTCTTGGTATTAATAAGTCAACTACTTAGCAACATACCATACTTTGCGCCTTGTGTTTTCCAACTACAGCTAGATATAATATCTGTGTCTTAACCATATCCTAATCACCCTTAGAAAATGCAAGAATCCAACTTTTTGTATGATCACAAGGATAATAAAAATACATATGTATATACAACTTGGTAATTTCCAACAAATAGCTTTGGCGACAGAAAATTATGACTACCTGTGCTGCGTGGTATGGTGCACTACGCAAACAGAAAAGAAAGAAAATAATAGAAATGAACTACACTTTTCATTCTGTTATTCACATCGTAGCGTGAGAAGGTACAGATAAGGCTATAGGAAGTACAAGAAAATCTGTAGCTATTTCATTTGTTTTTAGTAATCAATCAAAAATACAAAACTGTATTAGACGACATCGTGTTGAGTATAATGTTTGGATCACGGCTAAACAAAGAGCTTTACTTCCAAATTACAAAGTTAAAATTATGTCAGGATGCCAATAGCGACGTTAAATTTGTCTTAGAACGCTCACCATTCGATAATGATGACGACGATGATGATAATGAAAAAATTACCGGTGTCAGCTCAAACCGTCTTACCATCATAGGACGAATATTTCCCAATTCAGCCATATACAGAGAAGGTTCCTTTCGAATAGAAATAGCGCTGCCAGCAATGTATCCATCAGACCCGCCTGAAATACGCTTTCTTACTCCTATTTATCATATAAGTGTTACAGATGATGGTGAGTAAATTCAATTAGATTTAATCTTGAACGAAAATACCAAATTTATTTTTCATTCAGGTCGTCTGTCTTCGGAAACGGTGAAACGCGATCTTCTATGGAGTCCTAGACGTTCATTAGTTGAAATCATCAGAGCTCTTGTCGATTATATTGACCATCCTAACCTTCAATTTATACTAAACCACGGTTAGTTATACTGATATGTTCTTGATGTCTTTTTTTTTAAACGTATTTTTGTTTTTCTTCAGAAATAGCTGGAGAATTTATGTACAATCGAGCAGAATTTGATCGTAAAGCGCTCATGTCTGTAAGAAAATATGCTCTTCCAAGAAACTAATCACTTCGAAAACAAATTGCTCTCAATGTATTCTCTTTCGTGGAAATTTCTTAAACTAAATAAATCTATTCGACAAAGTCGATCAGATCTATGAAAGAACTATGTGAACAAGAATTCTCATGTGCGTTCGTATGTCAATAGTACCAGAGTGACGCAGGATAAGTTAACAGCAAGCTATCAGATGAAAAATGCGACAATTTTATATTCTCTTCTCTTTGCATGTGAATCATTGATTAGAAAGAAAAAAAAAGGAGGACGAATGAGTGTTATACGTATAACTAAAAGCAACCTTCATATTCAGAGTCATTTACTGTTACATTTGAAGCACAATCGAGAACATCTCGGTTAAAACTACAACCACTAGCGTCATATATCAACAGTGTAAAACATGAGTAATTTTTTGATAAGAGAATTTCTCATTGTATTTAAAGGTTTGTCGTCATATCACATATAAAAAGTGAGAATAATCTTTGTAACATTGACGTTGCTCAGAACCTTCTTGTCTCAGGTGTATTTATATATATTTAGATATTCATCGAAGCATCTCGTCACACGAAAATTTTGATTGATTACTATTCATCTTTTACAAATCATCTATAGAATGATGACAAGCAAACTTTGGTATATCTTCGCGACTACAAGCATTTTGATGACAGTTATAAAAGCAAGTACGTACGAAAGAATATTTATGCATTATGAATTTATATGCCATTTGCTGTATTGAATAGATGCAGTCGTTGAAAGTGATTCTGCAGCGGCACCGGATTGGATTGGTATTTGGAGTACTGACACGAAGTGTAATAAGCTTGCGTGCTGCTGTCTTTTTGATCAAATCACTACTTCAGCTGTCGCAAATGAAACCAAATTACGAATCATAGGACAAGTCGATGGAATTGGTATATGTAGAAGTAACCTAATTGTATTCAGCGAGGTCAACATGCCAAAGGACTTCAAAATGCCGTTCGACCTATTTGGCTTTTCTCTTAGTCTATCATTGAGTGAAGATAGCAAAGTTATTTCGGCTATCAATCCTAAAGACTCGCAGTGTAACACGATCGCTACCAGACTTCACTCTGCAGCAAACAGAATTGAAGTGCTGTTTTCTGCTGTTTTGTTATCGAGTTTTGTAGGAATGAAAACTTATTTTTGAAACGTGAATTATTCTATTACACTCTTAAGTTTCAAAGGCAAAAGCGAACATGAGACTAAGTATATATATATATATATTTGTTAGTATTTTGTTGTTCAACACATGGAAGCAGAGGTATTTTGATTGTATATGATTATCAAATAAAACTAAAAAGACAACAAACATTTTTTGGGCGAGGATCACTTTGAAAATTGATTTTGCAGATGAACGCATGAGTTTCTAGCATTCTACACGATAAAAAAATCGATGAATGAAAGTTTTGCACCTGATGCTCTTCTTGCTGTGAGTTCTTTGTGATTGAAGGGATGTATATCGATATAGTTGACTGACAAAAGAGTAATCCTAATCATGCTTATAGTATGAAACTGAGATTAAACGAGCTATGCCAATGTCAATAATCGTTATTTAACGTACCTGAATGATTTGATATTCACTTGGCCAACAAATTTGCATACATATATCTTTCACAACATCTTTATTTTGTTGTGCAATGAGATAAAGTAATAGATACATAAAGATAAACTTGCTAACTTATGTATTTGTTATTCTCAATCTTTATTACGAATGTTAAAAAGATTCGCCAACCACGAATTAGGAGAATCAGCTAGCCGTCGTGTTGGTTATCATAGTAAAGCAGATTATGCTAAATCTTCACGAGCAATGTGTCACGGATGTGATGAAAAGATCGAACAGAATCAATTGCGGATAGCATTGATGTTACAAGACGAAGAAGGCTACAAGAGTACCGCTTGGAATCATTTCGACTGTTTTTGGAAACATCCTGAGACACGGAAATTGGAAGGACCTCATGAAATTTATGACTTTCGCACACTTAAACGAGCTGATCAACAACGGTGAGATCAGAACAAATGATAAACTACTCATTTCACTGTTTATTCTATAGAATAGTGAAAGCGTTTGAAGAACTCAATGTAAGAAAGGCTGCAGCAACAAAGCAACGAAAAAATCGTCAAGAAACAAAGAAAAAGAAAGTTAAACGCATCTAACTAGCATGATCTTCAAAAACTATACCTAGTGTTCTTTTCTAATAAAATCACATACACATGTCATGTAATCATTGATCATTATCAAAAATAATAAGAAATTTGTTTGTCAAATACCAAGAATCTACTTATAAATCTCCATGTTAGAACACCAACAGTAAATCCAAGCTAATCATTCATCTATCGAAAACATTCGATTCACACACAGAATCTAGTTTATTTTCTCAAGTATTCCACGCCATTTTTCATGTAAATCTTTTTCTACATGTGCATTATATAAACTCATTTTTTCACTAATGTCCGTCAAGTTTGTTTGACTTAGTTTCACAGCGAGATCATCAACAGAATCGAAATAGGTTATATATGGCCATTGATAGTAATCAGAAAATTTTAACCAGTAATAGATCGCATTTCGATCGAATTCATTGTTCGGATCAGGACGGTGCTTGTCTAAAACGCCGGATATAAGTGAAGAGTTACGAAGATCTTCGATGACCCCACCCCAAGTTCGTTCGCGAACAACACGATACGCGAAATGCCAATCGGCAAGAAGATCAAGTGACGGAAAAAATAGGGGAATATTCATTCGATATTGTTCGAATAAACTCATTAATGAAACTTGATATGGTACATAAATGATGGCTGGATGTTGAACAAGTTGAGAGTATTCGTAGCGATCTTTATAAACTTCGCGTAGGTCGCTTACATTGATGGGGATTTTCAATTTTTCTAAAGTGTTGCTTAAATTTAATCGAAATTCCATATGAAATTGTTTTCCATGTATCGGTGCGATTAAAACTGGTTTGTGCATATCGGGCTGATACGATGCATTTGTATAACTGCATAAAGATGGTAAAACAATGGGTTTAATTCCGGTAAAATAACGAATGTATTCCGCATCATAGAGATTATTTGCAGATATCACATTTCTAAAGTTAGACAAATATCCTCCGTAATTTGAGAATTTCCTAACTAATTACCGGTCATTTTTGGCGATGATTTGAAGGTTTTTATTCCAATTCATCCATGCCTCTTTTTTGTAACGTCCTAACTCGTACCGAGTAGAAGCAAGAACGATTATTGTTCGATTAAATGCCATGAATAATTCACACATCGCTACTGGATGAAAACACATGAAGATATCCACTCGATTCATTTCGACGTCATTTTTGTAAGCTTCGTAAAATTCTTGTCGGACTTTTTCCGTAGGCATCATGGCATTACCTACATGTAAGACTTTCAAATTCTTAGCACACGTCTTCGTCTCATGACAAGCACCTGATAGACTTTTGTCGAGAAACTCAACGTTGAATGGCTTCAATTGATGTTTAATATCGTATATTGGACTAGAAAAAGTCGAAAGCAGATGAAGAAATGAGAATTATTTCAGTACCTGATATGATAGTCATTACACCAAATGGTGAGTCGACGCGTTCGGATGTATGCTGATCGTTTGGAAACATCGTTTGCTAAGAGTTTGAGTAGATATACAATGCAACAGCATGCGATACTTATTTTAATAATAGTAATGAAAAAAGTTCGACGCATTTTATTGAATCGGTGACGTATTTTGCATCACGCGGCTAAACCGAAACAAATTCTCTTTTTTCTCTTTACTTTACGTTAAGTAGAATGAAAGAAACATTTGAATTTTATTCGTGAATAAGTTTAAACTTAAAATACATTTGTTCTTTGATTCAGACGGCTTGTTTTAAGAACATCACAACAATCGATGTTAAATTTAATCCTAGTGATTCGTTACGTCACGTTTTCGTGAACTTTTTATAACAGCATATAAGTACGTATCTTCTCTAAGACAGAGAACCCATCGATTTATTATTTATTTTATTAGACAAGAAATTTCTACATGATATCGAGATTTAAACAGTTAAATGCATTCTACAAGAAAAATTTCGTGAAACAGATTTACCCAATTCATCCAAATGTGTTTTGTTCTTTCACTAGAAAAATATACTAGCTAGTGTCGTTGTTCGACAGTTGGTTTACTGTTGATAAATCTTTCGTCAAATCGTATATTAACCTTTTGGAGGTTTGGTGAGGCCTTTTGTGGAACGTACAGTAGTTGTGGTAGTTGTTCCACCTTTTGTATAAAACGTTGACTGAGTACTTCTACAACAAGCACGGTTACTTGGACAGCACTGGTATGATGTAGTCGAAGATGTCGTCGGCGTTGTTGGTGGCGTTGTAGTCGTCGTTGGAGGTGTTGTAGTTGTACTACCACTTGTGCTGCTAGTACTACGTATGGTGGTAGATCTGGTGACTTTGCTTCGCATCGTTGTTGTTGTTGTCGTGCTGCTGCTGCTGCTGTCGGTGGTACTACTCGTACTCGCGCTGCTCCTGCTGGTAGTAGTAGTTCTGGTAGTTCTAGTTCGCACTGTTGTTGTTCTTGATCTTGTCGTGCTGCTGCTACTACCGCCGCCGCTAGTACTACTTGTGGTGATGGATCTGGTGATCTTGGTTTGCATTGTTGTTGACGTTGTCCATGATGATTTTGTTCCTTTTCCTCCCGTAGTTGTGGTCATACTTGCTGCTAAAGTAGTATCTGTGGCTAAATCACAAAAGAATTCACTTTAGCTTTGCTTTTCTCATCTTCTCATACATCTTTACCTTCGGAATCTTTCTTGACCATCGTTGGAATTAGAGCACCAACAGCAATCAACATACCAGCCACGCAAGCGCCAGCAATAGCCAGTGCAATAAAACGTCGGTTTCTTGTCCAAAATCTAATTCACAAATGCATAGTTATGATTGCTGTGATATGAAAAAAGATAGAGCATACGTCGCATGTGATCGTTTCGATTCAATAACACGAAGTTCTCTCATATCCATTCGCATTTGTCGTGCTGCGCGACGAGATCCCTAGATAAAATCCAATTGCGATACATATTGACACGCCGAAAGACAAGATAGATGTGAGTTGGTAAAAAACCTACCATACCTCCTTCTCCGATTGCGGACATTTTTGAAAAGCGGTACAAATAAGAAGTCACTATTGTTTAGACAAGAATGAAATGCCTTTCGTCTATTGTGCTGGAAATATATGCATTTGTTTTTCTATAGACTGTTTCAGACTTGAGACGAAAGAATGAGAAACTGAAAAAATAAGCATAAAGCTGTAGTATATAAATAGAGAAACAACACCCAAAAGTTTGTTGGATAATAACTGCTTTGAAATAGCCCACACACAATTTGTTTTTATTTTTGAAAGAATAGGCAAATATTCGCTTCATTGTTTTGATTGTGAACTACTTTATCAGTTTACGACACAGAAAGAAAAGTGTTCTTAAAATACTTCTTCATCCGACAGAAAAACATCAAAAGTCTAGAGCAGTGAATTGATCACGTGGAATACATTTGTTTCAATAAATCTGTCATAACTTGTACGCTGCACTCTTTCATATATAATCAGCAATTGCTTGTGTGTGCTGTTCTTACGTCACCGAATGGAGTTTTGCAAATTTTTCTTTTATCTCGCTGCAATAACAAAACAAACCGATTTTCAGAACATTCATTAACTTGCTTCACTTTTGTCACGAAATTCGGCATGTCAATAAAGAAATCCCGAACAATTACTTTCAAGTTCTTCGCCAGGTAATTTTTTCTCACAAACAAAACTACAGAAGTGAATCAAAATGTAATCCTTTGTCCTGTGAGCGCATTTGTCTGCAATCATCTTATACAATGGTATTTTTCAGAGCAACTGTCGAGAAAGGTTGTACTTGAGTATTTCCATCAGACCCTCGCTTTCGGCAAAGGATAAATAATTTCGCTTCATGTCGAAATGAATTCGACGATACGAAAAAGACGAAAAACGACGCGGCGAATGATAAGTAAAACATCAGTGTAATCGAATTACTAATTATACTCTCAGTCGCTCGTTGTGCCGTAGACTTCGCTGTTGTTGCCGAAAAGATGGAATATTCCGTAAACACAATATATGGTACAGTTGAAACAAGTATGATTGGTATCTGCATAAGCATCATTTTCGTCAGTTGTTTCTGTATCACTCCACGTTGACGTTCAGCTTGTAATTGTCTCGTATTTCTATATGTCAATAAACCTGACGCGATTAAAATCAGGGCGGGAAACACACCAAGATACATGGGTAGTGAAACGTATATTTGATAGTTTGTAAAATACTTAGGCGCAGAACTTGTACAGGTCATTACTCCTGTCACTGCGTTTCGTGCTATAGTCCCATAGATCAAATCCGGAATTGAATGCAGCACCCAGAATACACACGTCAACAGGACAGCACATATTGCATAAGATAACCGACTTAAACGACGATATTTTTCTTCTCGACAACTTGCAAAGTATCGATCGATGCTTGCCAAACAAACACATGTTAACGACATGAAAAAGACTGCTTGACTAAATGCCGCACGACATTTACACCAAATTAAGTTGCTCGTTGCCCAATCGAGATTGAAACCTACACCTAAGATTCGCGTGAATAAACCATAGAATAAAACCAGACAATTGATTAGTGATAAACATATGAATATAAAAGCACAGGGATTGCGACGAGTTCGCCATAGACAGCGTACGTTCAGTAGATTTCCTACTGTTCCAATGGTGAATATTGGTATACCAACATAGATAGTGAGAGACCGTACTAATTCCGTAGTTGACGACATACTGTACCTCGCTCAATCACAAGTGAGAAAAAAGTGAATCACGTGTGTTTCTTTAGATTCTCAATCCATAAAAAGATTTCTCATGGCTATGCAAATGAATGAAGAGTACAGTGATCATATTATTATATTTAGATATTCTTTTATCAGCAAAACTGCCTTTAAGTCATAAAAATTTATTTTTTCATTAAATTAATGTATACTTCAGATTAGGATTATATGTTATTTAATCAATAGGAAAGGAGTATGTCTGGTTTTGAATGTTATTTTTGGTTTTTGCTTGCCCATTCATAGTAGTTTTTCTTTTGGCGTTCCATTTCCTGATTAGTCAAAGCCCAAACATCAATATCAGCCGTCATTGCATATGGTGCTGGTCCGTACTCAGGCACTAAAGTAATCCACTCGCGGTCTTTTTGCGCATCCCATATCATCTCCCACCAGCGTTGCATCTGTTCGCATTCAATCGGAGATTCCCGAGGATTACTGATTTGGGGATGTTCAGCAGTACCGACACGAGCGTGTAGATGATCCACACGCGAAGCAAACAATCGAAAACGTTCATCATCAGTTGCGTGATTTAATAAACGTTCACAGACAAGCACAAAATGTGAATAATCTGCTGTGATACGTAGATTAGGGAAACGTTTGATAAGATGTGCAGTGATGAATGGGTTGTAGAGTACACGCGTTCGATGTGTCTAAAAGTTCATATAAGAAATGATCGAAAGATGTGTAATAATTACTTCGTGCGATGCTGTCAATTGTGGATATTTTGCTTGCACTTCCAATGCTTTCTCAATGAATTCTTCATTCTCTTCGCGAGACCAGGAATCCTGACCTCCTTGAATATTTATATGTATAGGATTGTACGGCAGAAACTCCTTCAGATGAATATCAAGATTCGTGATATGTTGATCGATTGGTAAATCTTCCCAAGTACCATCTTTATAAGTTGGATAGTTTGTCTGCGCTAATCCAACTAAGTCTAGTTGATGAGTTTTTAATGCGCGGTGAAAAGCATCGGGATCATTAGCTGAAATACGATGAATATCGCTTAGAGTCACTTCGACGCCTGCGTAACCTAAACGATGAATTTCAGCGAGAAGAACGTTGATGTCTGTTGAAAATTGAGCTTCAGCGCCCCAAAGTGTTCGAATGAATTTCAATTTTGGAACAACCATATCTTATACTTTTTTCTTCGTCTAAATGCTCGAGCATAAGTGAGATAACATTACATCGACGCGTTATCTTTTTTCTTTTCATTCTTTTTAATGATAATAAATAGAATATGTCAAAAAGAGCATCTAGGTAGAATTCAATTTCACTTTCCCTTCATAGATCATTGCAATGTCAATTTTGTTCTATAACATAAAAAAATAACGAATAATAAGTCTCCATCATCTATTCTCAAAAAATTTCTTTTTATTTGTCGTCAATGGAATGTCACCACCAGAACAGAATTGACAAATTGTTTTGATAATCGATCATTTTCATACATTCCTTTTCTTTCTATCGTCTGTCAACATCTTTGCTTTCTTGTTGTCGTTAACTCAAAATAAAATGTATTTACAAAATGCATCGCGTTACGACTACAAAGTAAGAAAGAGAACACATCAACGAAATACACATTCTCTTTCTCTCGTTGCCTTGGTAGTGTTTCAGAACAAAGCCAAAATCAAACGTTCGAGTATTGTCAAAAGAAAAATAAAACACGCATTTCTATTCCACTACCAGTCAGTGGCGAGAACTGATTTTAAACAATCTCATGGAATTACCAGAACGATTTCAAATTGACATCACCGAACCTGTAGATCAATGCATTCATCGACGTCCATGTACGGCTACGGTATCATATTACAATCCGTATCAAGTGTCATATTGCGGCCACTATTGTCCAAATAATTCGCTACTATCTGAAACTGCTGCTATTCGCCGTGAGCTAAGTGCCCTTCGAAATGATATTGGAGCACTCAGACAACAACAATATTATCCTACGTATTATACTTCGAGTCAAAATACCTCGAGTAGTTCATGCCCTGAATGCATCGCATCTGCTAATGCTAGCGTTAATGCTACTCAGTATGTTCAGTATCCATCCTATGTTGAAGAACGTCCATACACAGCCAGACGATCGTCAAGTTCAAATGCACCTATTACAACATACCAGGATCATTACCGCGGACCGGGGTATTATGGGCATACGCCAAGTAGACCAACGAAACGAAAGACAACGATGAATGAAATGGAAACAGAAGCTGCATCATCATCTGTTGTTCAACATCCAAGAGATTGGGTACCAGGTGGTCACTAAAATTCCTATCCTCATCGTCGGTGGAATCTGAGTGTACCACATCCTGAACCATAATTTATTATTCTACATAATAAACACGACAATATCATTCTCGATTTTTCTTTTACGAACAAAAAAACTAATAAAACAATAAGAGTTTATCATAATTATTCAGACGATTCGTCGAATCGAGGAGGAGTGCTTGGGAGATTGTATTTGAAATGATTCCAGAACTTTCGATGATATACATCTGGTTGGGCGAGATATCTTCCACTGAAACTATTGAAGACATAATTCCATGATAAACCGTGAAAAAATACATGACGAATAACTGATGCATGGATACGAATACGTAAGTAAGGACGATCTATTGGACGAGATGGAGGAAATAACGGAGATGAATTGAGAAAATCAATATAATATTCCTGAATTATATCAGAAAAGTCATCCTTAACTTCGATTATGTGAAGAATAAGATCATAGTTATTGAATAACGTCCATTTGAAATATTCTTCAACGCCTTTCATTGTTTCTAAAGATGGATTATTCAAAATTCGCTCGAATCGATCATTATAGTGCTGAAAATCCGTCGATTTGGCTAAGTAATCATCCATAGATCTCTTTGGCGAATCTCCAATACTACTTCCGACATCATATTTTCCATTCGGAAAAGGACACCATGTTTTTAAATATCGGAATCGTGCTCGAAGTTGCTCAGCAACATCCATCGGATCATTTTTCCAATTTAAACGTCGGATTTGTTCGTCCGCTTCGAGAAAGTAACCACCAACTGGAATCCAGACAGTTGGACTACTCAATTGAATAAATCTGATGATACTTTTGATAAACTTTTCATCTTTGTTCTTCGCCAATTGCAATACCTTCTTCTCGTTAAATTGATCCATAAAACATGATGGATAAGCATTTTTATTCGAAGTAAAATTTGTCAGTAAAATATCAACACCATAGGGAAGAAAATCTCCATTCGGACTTGAACAATCGACTAAATTCAATATTCGATAGCCTTTATATTCGAACAGGAATGTCCAGTCATCATATGGATGTTTATGATCAGGTAAAATCATCATACGACATTCACTCGTCGGCATTTCTTCCCAAATACCTAATCGAATGCAATGTGTATTAACAAATCCTAATTGTTCAAGCGAATTAATCAACATTTCCGGAGCATAAACATGAATACACGCATTGAGTTGCACAATACGTCGTAGAGTACATCGATTGAAATGGTCCGGAGTGGATTTCGAGATGAAAATTCCATCAGCATTGGCGATCCTTTCCAAAGAATTCGCATCGATATCATGTAACAACCACCAACTTCGATCATAAGCTGGACCGATTAACCATGGATCAATGAACAATCGGGTTGGACCAGCTTGAATTTCTATACAAGCGTGACTAATAAAGGTAATGGTTAATTCATCAGGATGTAAAACTTGTTTTTCTTTCGCATCGATCATCCATGGATCGTACAATGCTGGTTCTAAGATCAACCATTCATTTTCATTGGTTTGATCAATCTCTAACCGCTTTTGCTTGAGGCAATCGGCCGGATGAGTATATTCTAATGTTTGAACATTGAGCTTCCATCCATGAAAAGCACACCGAACGATTTCTGGCGAGTCTTCGATGTCATGAATAAAGTTTCCTCCTGCGTGACGACATAAGTTACGACAGATAATCAAACTTTTGTCCGAGTTCTGATAGATTATCAAGCGAATAAATTTTGCTTTGCTTCTACTTGGATCTCTCGATGGAAGTTCGAGAAAATTCAGACCAAATCGTAATTTTTGAATTTGTAACGAAGATAAACAACAAAGAATTGCATATGGAATCGGATTGGATGAAATATAATAGTACGACGACATGTATTAGAAATGAACGACGCGGAATCGAATGACATTGACTTTTTCTTGAGCAGAAGAAAAAGAAAAAAAATGCAACAGCTGTGACATTCTATTTCCTTTGTGTTTCTTATCATATAAAAAATCACAATGATCAATATTGCATAGAAAGCAAACAGAGAATGAAAGGTAAAATGTGAAATACTATTAAGAAAATCAATACGCCCAAATCTGCTTCTTCCCCAACAACTGCAATTTTTTTCAAAATAATTTGAGAAACTACTAAATACGTGAGATAAATAGTTGCAACAGATACAAATAATATCAATGTATATTTTAATCTGACTGATAAGGTTTCTCTTGTTGATAGATGAATCCAAGCAAATCCGAAAAATAACGATAATGTACACGCTCCAACAAAAATGACTGATAATGGTAAAAATGGTGGCGTCGGCTTTTGAAAATAACCAGTTGATAGGATCCATTGATAGAACTTATCTTGGCCATTCTCTTCAAAGATATGATCAATTTGGAAATGTAACAAACAACCAGCAATCGATAATAAATAACAATTTTTCAAATTTAATGAAATCAAACTGGAATTGTTCTCGTCATACCAACGACTGCATTTTTTCAATAATTTCGAAGATAAGAATGCTATGAGAGGTGCTATCAGTATAATATAACCAATGCTATCGTGGATATAACTCATAGCTGTATTTGCCAGCGCCGGAAATGTTAGCGATAGACACCATCCGATAAAAGACCCAATATCCGGTCCGAAGAAACTGTTCACAGCCAAGAGTAGACAATGACTAGCAGTAAAAGATCCTTTTGTTGCCGTCATAATCAATGTTCCAAATCCTAATGCGTAACCAACATGGACCACCGGGCTCGGCATGACTTTTTGTCGATTTGTCCCAATAGCTCAATCAGTCAGGACGAGATAGAATAGAAAAATCATCTGTTTCGAGACAATTCAACAGCAATGCGCCAATCACACAACAAGCCGTTCCACCAATAAAATAAGCTTGTGGCGCTCGGTATACATGTAGTCTTTTTCTGATGGACTATTGCTATAGTTGCTCAATTTTTCACAATTTTCTGATGACTTATTTCATTTTCCATAGTATACTCAATCACCCACACCCACCCTATACAGTTTACTTCGTTCAGATACATTGAAAACAGATGTTCTGAACAGTGCTTTGACAATGGCATACATCGATTTTTTTCAGAGGAAGAGACAATGAACTTATCATATAAAAATATTTTAAATATTTCCTAAATTTATGAACATAACTATTGTTACACGTACGCGTATGCTAGCGACATGTGACAGTACATCGCAGAGGCTTTCCTTTTCATTGGCTATTTCGCGTTTTAAGTGAATAGCTGTCGTTCTGTCTCAGGAATTTACATCAGTCAAACTAAAGCGACTCATTTTTTGTCTGTATAAGATCTATAATATAATAACGAATGATATAAACTATATATGACTAATGATGCGAGTATATAAGCAAATGCAGAAAAATATAAGCTCCCACAAGTGACACATAATCAATTAGAAATTTCGAATCGTTAGGTGTCGTTCGACTTTTATTGAGTACGTTCATGGCAAGCAAAGTAAAAACTCTTCTGGTGTTAGCTGCACCATCGATAAAATCCAAGTATTATTCAGAGAAATTCGCGGATATCATCGAGTTTATGACAAACTTTGCTAAATTTGCTGATGGAAAAGATGATTTGATCATTCTTGCCGATACGGATACTCTTCCATCTTTCCAAGGAAAGATCGATCCAAACAAGTTAATCGAAGCGCAGATTGATGATATATGGATTCGTGACTTTTCTCCAGCAATACCTGCTCGGCAAATCAAATTCAAATATGCACCATCATATATAAAGCGGTCGGATTCAACTCATGTTGAAAACAGTTTTCTTCGTTGGTGTTCAAAACATGCTATTCATTTTTCTGAAAAATCCGATATTATTCTCGATGCAGGAAATATCGTCGATAATCCATCCGGAACGCGAGTGATTATCACTGATCGTGTCCTCCAAGACAATCCGTCGCTAACAAAAGCTAGTGCGAAAGAAAAACTTCGACAAATACTTGGTGTGAATGAAATTGCCATTATCAAACAATTGCCCGGTGATACAACTGGACATGCAGATGGAATGGTTATGTGGGCCACTGATGATCGGATCTTATTTGCAAGTGAAACTGAACCATTAAATTCGGAAATTATCAATGAATTAAAAGCTTCATTTCCCAATGTCGAAATTATCGAGACTCCGAATTATTTTGTCGATGAAACCTGGAAAAATTTCACTACAGCTCGCAATGTTTATGTCAATTCAATTGTCACTGACCATTACATTTATATGCCGACGTTCAATAGCAAACATGACGATGAAATGTTGAAACAATTTCAGTCGTATACGGACAAATCTGTCGTCGCAGTACCGGCTGAGAACGTTTGCATGATGGGAGGGAGCATTCGATGTCTAACTTGGCAAGTGAAAGATTCGATTCGAATGAAAATTTTACCACCGCCTACGTCGTGACATGCAGTTTGCGCAAACTATTATTCTTCGAGAGAAAGAAAACGAAAAGCGATGCTTTTAGTAAATTGAAAACATGTTTTTCTTTTCCTTCATAATAAATGAATATGAGAACAATTGGTATTGGTATTTGATTAACTTGCTCGATTGGAAAAGGAGTTATCTTTTAGAGAAATAAACTTATCCCGTTAACTAGTATTCTGATGAACATCATCGGCGTAAAATTTTCTCTGGACTGAAAGTACACATTTTGTTCCTCTTAAATGTTTGTGCATTGAATATTTTCGCAAATCTTTTCAATTGTTGCTTTTAGCATTAACAGCAATCGTCCGCGTTGCTGAAAATATAACAAAAATCATTAATAGTTTCGAAAACAAAACACCCTTTGTATATTTTTCAATACTAATGCATTGTATGTATGGACAAAGAGAAAAATCGAGAGTTGTTCGAATTCCAAACTGACGTTCCCTTTAATTGTTTTGTTTAAAAAGCTGATGACGTCGATATATGTCTACAAATAAATAATTTCAAAAAAACTTTCATTCCACTCAGTGAAATAGTTCGCGTTTATTTATCACAAGACTGATGGCGAGTAGAGAATTAGCGAGTATGGCGTCTGAACGCGCAGCACGACAAATGCGAATGGATATGAGAGAACTTCGTGTTATTGAATCGAAACGATCACATGCGACGTATGCTCTATCTTTTTTCATATCACAGCAATCATAACTATGCATTTGTGAATTAGATTTTGGACAAGAAACCGACGTTTTATTGCACTGGCTATTGCTGGCGCTTGCGTGGCTGGTATGTTGATTGCTGTTGGTGCTCTAATTCCAACGATGGTCAAGAAAGATTCCGAAGGTAAAGATGTATGAGAAGATGAGAAAAGCAAAGCTAAAGTGAATTCTTTTGTGATTTAGCCACAGATACTACTTTAGCAGCAAGTACGACCACAACGACGGGAGGGAAAGGAACAAAATCATCATGGACAACGTCAACAACAATGCAAACCAAGATCACCAGATCCATCACCACAAGTAGTACTAGCGGCGGCGGTGGCGGCGGCAGTAGCAGCAGCACGACAAGAACAAGAACAACAACAGTGCGAACTAGAGCCACCAGAACTACTACTACCAGCAGGAGCAGCGCGAGTACGAGTAGTACTACCGACAGCAGCACGACAACAACAACAACGATGCGAAGCAAAGCCACCAGATCTACCACCATACGTAGTACTAGCAGCACAAGTGGTAGTACAACTACAACACCACCAACAACGACTACAACGCCACCAACAACGCCGACGACATCTTCGACTACATCATACCAGTGCTGTCCAAGTAACCGTGCTTGTTGTAGAAGTACTCAGTCAACGTTTTATACAAAAGGTGGAACAACTACCACAACTACTTTTCGTTCCACAAAAGGCCTCACCAAACCTCCAAAAGGTTAATGTGAAATTTGGTTAAAGTTTTGTGAGCATATGAACTATGCGTAAAAGAATGAATTTTGGTTGACTCTAGATAGTTTTTTCCCACGTAGGAGATTGTCAACTAAATTAATGTATGATAAAGATTTTTGTATAAAAATACTTCTTAATAAAACTCAAACAGTCCACTTCTAGCTGGCAACTGAAATAGAAATGTTTATATTATTACGTATAATATCCAGGATGCATTAGCACACAATAGAGAAAGTTATATGTACATATGTTAGCATATCATAAACAGATTAATATTGTTATCAGCACGAATATTTTTCCAAAATGAAAGATAAGAACAACAATCAAAAACATTCTTCGGTTTGTTCGAGTTCAGAAGTGGAATGGCTGCGTTGTCGCCGAAAATGAAATTTATGCTTTGACTGTCTTTTAAATATGGGCGAAGGAGACAAGACTTGGTGTTGTCTTGTTTTCATTTGATCGAATTCTTGAAGGATTTGTTCACATGTTTTTGGCTCGAAACCTGATATCGCGACTGCTGCCTGGATAATGGCTGAGGGTAATTCTGAGTCTTTATCTTTAGGACAGGATTGTGTCTCAATCGTCTGAATTAATGCGCTTACGCAAGTATGCTGTGGTGAATTCGTACTAAACCAGTTTGGAGATTTTGAAATGGAACAAACTGCAGGCTGTATCGCACATTTTGTTGTAGCAATTAAAGCATCAGCAGTGACACGAAGTTCCTCACTTTCCTGATGACCAAATCGTGATCGTTTCAAAAACTTGAGAAGATTCGATTTTCGTTTATGACACAGTGACAATACAGCTGATGAAAAACTTGTTTTCAATTTATTGTCATCAGATTCCTGATCTTCATTCGTCTCACTAAAAACAAAAAAAATCGTGTTTTCATCATCGTAAATCTCCTTCCGGTAACATACCTTTCGTTATTGCTCAATGAATATACACTGTCGGATGTATCACTTACTGTCGGGAACGAGAGTGATGACTGAAATGATGAACTTTCTGTATTATTATAACTATCTGATCCGAGAGTTCTAGCGCTACTGTTACTGACTAATGCTAGATGGATATCGTTATCAGCCGTTGTTCGCGAGTGTGATCTTTTGATATCGCCCGAAAAGTCATCACTAAGCTTGTGTGATTTTCGTTCACTTTTTGCTCGCCATCTGCAAGTATGATGCGAATGAAGTTGTGACGCATCTATAATGTTTGCCGAAAGAAGAACATGAGCAACAGGACGTGATATTTGAATATTGAGTCCATTGATTCTATAGCATGCGGCAAACGTTGATTCGAGATCGCTACGCAGGAGAGCGTGCGGCAGATTGGCATGAAATGAACGAACTGCTGCCTGACAACCATTTTCTTTCAAAATACAATCACGAATATGTTCAACTGACTGCCGTACAGCAGGTTGACTTGCAAACACCAACGCTTCAGCTAATGCCGTCGCTGTGATGGATCTTCCAGGCAGAGGACTAGGACCAGCTCCGCTCTTCTCGATAACATTACCCCAAAAGAATTGATCGCCAAAGAATGGTACAACAATAGTTGGTTTACCAGCACGCAGACCAGCTGCTGTTGTACCTGCTCCACCATGATGGCAAACAGCCCACACTATTAGAAAACCTCCATAGAAATACCCGCTAAATATTCAAGTTTACTCACCATATTGAAAAAGCCAATCGTGTGGAACACTTCCGATCTTAAAAACGTTCTTAGGCATTTGATCGGCATCTGTAGCAAGACCAGATAGGACGGCACGATGACCAGTTCGTTCGAGAGCGTCAAGAACAACATCAAGGAGGCGTCGAGAATCATGTCCAGTAATCGAGCCGAAGCCAATATAGATTGGCGCAGGTAATTTCGGTTCATCCTGGGGACGGTCTTTATCAATGCCAAGAAAATCGAGTAGATCTTGCGGTGGATTCGTGTAAGTAGTGCATAGATCAAGAAAGAAAAAACCAGAAATATTTATATGTGACTGCCAGTCTGGTGGTTTCGAAACAAGTGCTGGCGACCAACAGTACGTATGTGGCACAGATTCAGCAACAAGTAAACTTGTCGCTTCCTGTGCATGCAATGAAGAAAGTCCTAGAATTTTCCTACGGAAATGGTTGATAATACCACGCATGCCGGACCATGTCTATTATATAAAAGAAATTGATAGTAATTAGTAGATACTCCTTTCTAATCAAAAATTTACGAGCATCTCAACAGCATGATAGGAATGGAAATTGATTTTTCCTGTTGGACCTCTCGAACTATCGATGTTGCAGAATGGATGCGGAAAAGAAGTGGTAGGAGACCATGGCATCGTAAACATCATATGGAGAGGAATTTGCAGTTTTTCTGCACAATGTATATGACCGAACGATGGCGGATTAGCAATGATTGCTTCAGCAGTAAATGGTAATGATGTTTCATCATCGTTAGCCGTACAAGCTAACCAAGTTGATTTCAGAATGTCAGCAAGAATATGACGATGTTTTCCAACATCACCTGCCACGATACTGCTCATCGAAGGAATAATACCTGCATTCTTCACCATAAATGACATTAGATCAGCTGGATTTCCAGCTAGTGGATAGAATTCCAGACCATTTTCACGAACAAAAGATCGAAATACTTCGTGTGTAGCTAATCGAACACGATGACCAACGGCTAGAAGTTCTTTACCAAGACTAAACGAGGAGCATTTTTCTTCATAAACAGATATTTTGACAAACTCACGCAATAAATGGTTGAACGTCACCTCTTGTCCCAACAATTAGAATAACAATTGTAAGACGAGGTACGATTGAGATATTTTCTAAGTGTTCTTCCTCTTCGACGACATGAAATCGATTAAAAGTTGGCAGTGAAGATTGATAGTCTTCGTTAGGAGTTGAAAATACAACGCTGATACGTCTATCGGCACCATCGACGCGAACTGTGTAGTCAACATTATTATTCTCTTCGTCAGAATTCGATTCATCAGCGTCTTGTTCGCTTCTGCTTTCTGTTTTCAATTGTGCCGAAGTCCAAATCATTGTGCCAAACACAATGAGACGAGCATTGAGAGTTAACCTTGTACCAATGGAATGAACAAGGAGGATATTGCTTGACGTATTACCATCCTCACTCGATTGTACTAAATGGTTGGTTAATTCAATTGACTTTCCTTGTAATGACGAACTCGAGAGAATTTCTTTATCATTTAACCAAATACTACCGGTTATATTTGGTGCATTCGACTGCTGTTCCTCGTCATCGCACGAGTCAAAGAAAAGATAAACCTGCTGTTCATGTCGTTCATCAGGTATGATCCAATCGAAGTGCTTTCGATACCAGTAATTATATCGCTGATCAGATGCAGGAATGTGTGGTAATGTCACAGAGAACCATTGTGAACCAACATCTGAATCCTGAGACAATAATTTATCGTCTGACTGATTACTTGTCGGTCGAGAGCAATATTCCCAATATGAGTTGAAGTCAATTTGTGTCTGATCATTTTTGTCTGAAGACATCGTCTGATAACGAAAACAAAAGTAAAATGAAGAATATAAACAGTATACGGTTTTGCAAATGTCTTTTCTATCGTTCTTACTATGATGAGAGAATGATTTCAACATTATTATATACTCCGATCTTTCTATAGGATATGTTCTAGACTTTTTTTTTATACTTAGTGCATGAATATAAAAGAGGAGAACATAATCGTACGAATATTTGTGTATGAAAATCTTGCCAAAACAAACCAAATCACCTTACAGTTATCACTATTTTGTTCGACAATGTGGGTGTCACCATGCGTGTCGATGTCGTCATCGTTAATTCGTTTTACTTGCAGTCCAATCGCACAAAATACATTGCAATTATTTCTATCAGTGCGCTTTGCTACTGTAAAAATAGGATGGAAGCAAATCTCATCCCACATCATGAGCCACAAATGCAAAACGTAGTATAACGCAATTCAAATATCTCTAATTTTGCATAGTTATAATCATGTGAAATCGTCGCGAAAATGCTTTGCGCATACGTAAAACTTGATCGATTGGTATCGAGATACCCACAATTATATCAATTGAAATCTTATGATTATTTCGCAATGTTGATGTATATGTCTAGTTACGATTGATCAGGATCAAAGTTGTCCAAAAGTCAGGTTTCTCAATATAATTGATGTAACTACTTTAGAGCGTAATATTGTACTTTACTCTAAACGAAGTGCGTATTAGAGTAAAACCTTTATTACGTCACTACTCTATGTTCACAGGCGTTTTTAGGCGAACTTTCAGCTTTATTTAAAATAAACTCAGTTTATACACAATAGTGAAAATGGATTTCGATGAATATCAAATCATTTGAAAAGCGTTGGCGTCATGTCTCAAGCGGGCCCATCTTGTTAAGGCACCCTCCATCTTAAAAGGCAAATTTCTCGAATTTTTTAATGGTTCATTTGATAGAGCACGTTCATCGCTATCGAATGCACTATGGTTTGTCTTTTTTACGATGCACTTTCCATATTATCTCTATAAGCTTTTCTGAGACTGACCACCCTAGATGATGTTTTTTTTCGAAAACTTTAACGGTTATACTTAGGGCGTACCAAAAGTTCTGATCCTGATGTTTCAAATTGTATAAAGCCGTGAATATTAAATGTTTTTTAAGACAAAATGTAGTATAAGTTCTCGTCCTCAATAACAAACACAGTAACTTCATCTTGGATTTATTTCTAGCACCCTGCTAGATTAAATCTATAGTAGTTATAGCTACAAAAAGCTTCTACCAACATGAAAAGAGAATATGAAAAAGGAATAATATTTGTATGTTGATTTTAGTAGATGCTCAAAATAGTCGCAGTTATTTTCTATATAGAGTTCCATCCAAGGGGTAACAAGCGGATCCTATGAAATCTTTGGATCCTCACAGGTCCTCACATTTAGAATTGATATGGATTCGCGCTTTCTACGATAGTACAATCCATGAGGACCGATGAGGATCCAAAAATTTCATAGGATCCGCTTTTCCCCCCCGGAAGAATTCTATATCACGTGAGTATACATTGACCCTTACAATTTTCAATTTCATATATTTGCTTCTGTCACTAGATCACCATTACAAGCGACAAATATAATCAGTCATGAAGTATCACCAATCTACAAAGTCTAGGGAAGCGTTGCACCTCCACCGTACTGCAGTCAGACTATTATGCAGTTTTGTAGGCAATGTGGTCATGCATATTAGTATTTTACAGATAAGTTTTGGTGTATTAATTACACATTAATATTGTAATAGAAAATGCGTGGTATCTTGTTTCGAATTGATTAAATATCATAGGTAGCTGTCAGTCGATAGAAGTGACGATGTGCGAGAAAAATAATATATTAGTGGTTTTCAGGTGACGTATTTCACTCAGCATTTATTTTCGTAGAATATACTGCGTGTGGAAAACCTCGATTTTACATACCAGATTCAGATTCTCTCAGATGATTACACGTCACATCATCATTTTCACTTTGTTTTTCGCAGAAGAAAAACTTCGCTTCTTAATTATCTATATAAAGCTGTTGTTGATGTAAATATTCTTCAAGTAGATATTCAAAAACTATTACTAGCAATCATACAATAGCGAAAGCCGGACTCTACGACTATGTTAACTCATTTTTTACTGGCAATCTTGTTCCTTAGTGGAATACAAGCCAATCAACTACGAATCTATGACAATCCAATGAACAATCGAGCGATCGATTTGTTTATCTTAGTCGATGAGAACACTTCAAGGTTAACTCCAGTACAATTTGGGCAAATAAAGATTACTGTGAAGAACATCGTTACTGATTTGCAACCGCAAAGCTCGACACCTTACTTTGGCGTTTACTTCTATGGATCTACATCATTAGTTGATACAGTCGTGCCGTTTGGCTCTAATTCTGCCGCGACTGTTTCTAAGAGTGTTGATTTGAAGCAATATACAGCGACACAATTAAATCCATCAAGTCTTAGTGCAGCTTTAGACTCGGTTAATGCAGCATGTTATGCGTCTTGCCGGGAAAAAATTTCGCGAGTAACGGTTATATTTACCTCATCACCGGATCTAGCTGCTGAAGCTCGTATTCGTCAATTAGAAGACAATTTTGGCATGACTGTCATCATTGTTGGCATCGGTTCAGGAATTACTACATCTGTTTTACAAAAATTAGCATCGCATCCCACTGATGAATACGGTCTTC